ATTTTATTGGCCATGGCTCACACCTGTAATCCAAGCACTTTGGAGGCCAAGGTGGGTGGATCACCTGAGGTCGGGAGTTCAAGACCAGCCTGACCAACATGGCAAAACCCTGTCTTAAAAAAAAAAAAAAAGAGAGAAAAAGAAAAGAAAAGAGAAAAAAAGAAAAAAAAATTTATTTTATTTAATATATTTTTTATGAGACAGAGTCTTGCTCTGTCGCCCAGGCTGGAGTGCAATGGCATGATCTTGGCTCACTGGAACCTCTGCCTCCCGGGTTCAAGCGATTCTCCCTGCCTTAGCCTCCTGAATAGCTGAGATTACAGGCACCCACCATCACACCAGGCTCACTTTTGTATTTTTAGTAGAGACAGGGTTTTGAAATATTAGCCAGGCTGGTCTCAAACTCTTGACCTCAGGTAATCAGCCTACCTCAGCCTCCCAAAGTGCTGGGGTTACAGGTGTGAGCTGCTGCACCCGGCCCACAATAAAACATTTTAAGCTGAAAATCCAGTGGGTAAGTGCTAATTGATTAAGCAGATGTAGGAAGACAGAATTCTGAGGTGGGAAGCAGATAATGTCATTGGGTCTCAGTTTACATCACAGAACCCCTGGAAGGTCCCAGCATTGGTAGTACCAAGGGCTGCTCCCAGAGTAGCGTGACAGTCAAGCTAGAATCAGGAGTTGCAAGTCTGTTTAAGAAGCAGTCAGATCCCCAAATCTTCCACGTCTGTGCAACTTATGCCTGCCCTCCTCCTTCTAGCAAAAAACTAGAAGTTTATTTTCTGGAGAGAGTCAAACAGTCTTTAGGCTGGGAATGCAGGCACAGTTAAAAACATGTACATACGGCTGGGCACAGTGGCTCATGCCTGTAATCCCAGCACTTTGGGAGGCCAAGGTGAGTGGATCATGAGGTGAGGTGATCGAGACCAGCCTGGCCAAACCCCGTCTCTACTAAAAATACAAAAATTAGCTGGGCATGGTGGCACATGCCTGTAATCCCAGCTACTTGGGAGGCTGAGGCAGGAGAATCACTTAACCCAGGGAGTTGGAGGTTGTAGTGAGCTGAGATCATGCCACTGCACTCCAGCCTGGCGACAGAGCGAGACTCCATCTCAAACAGAGAAAAAAAGAAAACATGTACATACTATACATGAGGGCCCCACTCTCTCCCTATCGTCCTTCTTTATCTCAGCTTCCAGAATTCTGACAGTCAAGCCTTAGACTTTTCAGGCAAGAGATTGGAAGATTGTTTTGAGGGGAATCTGTTCAGCCTAAGAGGAAAGAGCTAAAGGTTTGTCCAGTGAAACAGCTGTGTAGGGTCATCTGGTAAAATAAAGCCCACAGTGGATAAACCCCAGGCATTCACCCAGAAATTCCAGTCAACTTTTGGTACCCCACTGTTGAATATGAGCTGATAACTAAAGGTCATCAAACTCCTCCAGGACGATGTTTTGTTTCTTATTTAAATGTTTTCACTGGATTTGGACTTCATTTTTTTTTTTTTTAAGACAGAGTCTTGCTCTTGTCCCCCAGGCTGGAGTGCAATGGGGCAATTTCGGCTCACTGCACCTCCGCCTCCCAGGTTCAAGCGATTCTCCTGCTTCAGCCTCTCAAGTAGCTGGGATTACAGGTGCCTGCCAGCCCACGCCCAGCTAATTTTTGTATTTTTAGTAGAGACTGGGTTTCACCATGTTGGCCTGGCTTGTCTTAAACTCCTGACCTCGGGTGATCCACCTACCTTAACCTCCCAAAGTGCTGGGATTACAGGCATGAGCCACCATGCCCAGCCTTGGACTTAATTTTTTTTTTTTTTGTTTTTTTGAGACGGAGTTTCACTCTTGTTACCCAAGCTGGAGTGCAATGGCGCCATCTCGGCTCACTGCAACCTCTGCCTCCTGGGTTCAAGCAATTCTCCTGCCTCAACCTCCCGAGTAGCTGGGATTACAGGCACGCGTCACCATGCCCAGCTAATGTTTTGTATTTTTAGTAGAGACAGGGTTTCACCATGTTGACCAGGATGGTCTCGATCTCTTGACCTGGTGATCCACCCGCCTCGGCCTCCCAAAGTGCTGGGATTACAGGCTTGAGCCACCGCGCCCGGCGGACTTAATTTTTTAAGGAGTGTTTAGATATGACTAGTCTGATCAATATTAGCTTATATATTTTTGGTAGTCCTTTATTATTATTTTCTTTTTTTTTGTTTTTTTTTTTTTGAGACAGAGTCTTGCTCTGTTGCCTAGGCTGGAGTACAGTGGTGCAATCTTGGCTCAGTGCAGCCCCTGCCTCCCAGGTTTAAGCGATTCTCCTGCCTCAGCCTCCCAAGTAGCTGGGATTACAGGTACCCACCACCATGCCCAGCTAATTTTTGTATTGTTAGTAGAGACAGGTTTCACCATGTTGCCCAGGCTGGTTTTGAACTCCTGACCTCACGTTATCCTCCCACCTCAGCCTCCATAGTGCTGGGATTACAGGTGTGAGCCACTGCTCCTGGGTAGCCCTTTATTTTTATACCTAAGGACTAGTTTACTGTTTTTCTGTGTTCAGTACTTAGCTTTGGTTAGAAATTTGCCACGTTCTTCTTCATCTGTTTCTGAAGCATTAGGGTTTCACCTGCTTGGTGTAAGTTGCTTCTTAATTTTCTCCTTGTGGATATGTTTTGTGGACTCTCTGTTTTCTCTAAACTTCACTGCTCACCATCCCACAACATTATCTTCCCATAATTCTGGCAGAAAGGAGACCTGGGATACCTCCGAAGTGTAACCCGTAAATCCCAGTTCCTGTTCATACCTGACTCCCACCAAGAAAGACGTTTAAAAGGAACCACTGGCTCATTGCAGCCTCTGCCTCCCAGGTTCAAGTGATTATCTTGCCTCAGCCTTCCAAGTAGCTGGGATTACAGGTGCCCACCACCATGGAAAAAAGGAACCATTGGGAAGCAAGTATGCAGTGAGAAGAATGCTTTAGGCACTTAAGAAAGATTGTCTTTTGTCTTCTCAGAGAGATAAGAAATGATATTGCATTCAAGGTGCTATTTAGGAAAAAAAAGAAAAGAGTACTTACAAATAAAAAATAAGAGTAGGCAACTATTTAGAAAGTTGAAAGATAAAGGAAATACTCTTTAAAAAAAAGAAAAGCAAAATACAAAAATTAGTCGGGTGGAATGGTCCACAGTTCCTCAGGAGGCTGAGGTGATAGTATTGCTTGAGCTCAGGAGGTTGAGGCTGCAGTGAGCGGTGATTATGCCACTGTACTCCAGCCTGGGTGACAAGGCGTAGACCCTGTCTCAAAAAAAAAAAAAAAAAAAAAAAAAAAAAGGCATCAATATGCTTGAACCTTTAACAGCAGCACTAAACTAGAAGACAACCAAATATTTCTTTAAAATCCTAAAGAAAGGCTGGCACAGTGGCTAACTCTTGTAATCCCAGCACTTTGGGAGGCTGAGGCAGTCAGATCGTGAGGTCAGGAGTTTGAGTCCAGCCTTCTCAGCGTGGTAAAATCCCATCTCTACTAAAAAGGTGGAGGTTGCAGTGAGCTAAGATCGTGCCACTGTACTCCAGCCTGGGCAACAGAGGGAGACTCCATCTCAAAATAAATAAATACATAAAAATAAATTTAAAAAATTAAAATTCTGAAGAAAAATGTATTCCCAGCTTAAAATTCCACATGAACACTAGCTATAAATCAAGTGTAAGGGGAGGATAAATATCCTTATATATGCAAGGTTTCAAAAAATGTGTCTCTTGCTCTCCTTTTTAAAGCTGACAGTGGGTACATGCTACCAAAAACTAGGGAATATGTACAAAAAAGGAAGATGGGGATACAGAATGGGGTTTCTCAAGACAAAGGCAAAAGTATCTCTAGGATGAGGATGAAGGGAGGTCCCAGGATGCTGGCTTTGCAGCAGTGTAGGGACCGCCACTCCTGCTTGGAGTAGGTTGGTGGGCTCTGGAAGGTACTCTCCAAGAAGACAAAACTGACGCCTCTGTGTAACTGAGTGTGTTGAGAGTAGCCTTGGATTAAGATTTTCGAGTTGAATAGAAAGCCAGAAAAAAAAAAGACCATAAGTTGCTGTAAAGGAAAAGCAAGCATGGCTCTAGCTCATTTGTGAATGTTATTTACCTAAGGTAAATGTGAATATTGCACCAAATAAAATTATAATATAATGATGTCAGGAAGATTAGGGATAAGATGTGTGTGAGATGAGGTCAGGATTGTGAAAGAGAACTTATTACTCATCTTCCATAATGAGAAATCTGTAGATAATGCCTAAAAATGAAAAATCAAGCCATGACAGTGTGAGCATTCCCCATTGTCAGAAGAGCAGCTGAGAGACTCAAATGTGGCTGCCTTAGGGAAGTAGAGAGTGGCTGTGTCACCTGGTGGCAGGGGTGAGGGGTATCATGGGACTGCCAGTAATAATTTAAGAAAGTGAGTTACTCTTGAAATTTTGTTTTTATGCAACTTTAGTAAAAATAGAAACATATTTTTTTAAAAAGTTCTAAAATTACAATACTTGGCTGGGCATAGTGGCTCACATCTGTAATCCCAGCACTTTAGGAGGCCAAAGCTGGTGGATCACTTGATGTCAGGAGTTTGAGACCAGCATGACCAACATGGTAAAACCCCGTGTCTCCTAAAAATACAAAAATTAGCTGGATGTGGTGGCACATGCCTGTAGTCCCAGCTACTTGGGAGGCTGAGGCAGAAGAATTGCTTGAAGCCAGGAGGTGGAGGTTGCAGTGAGCCGAGATCATGCCACTGCACTCCAGTCTGGGTGACAGAGTGAGAGTGCATCTCAAAAATAAAATAAAATAGCTACACTTAATACAGTATTTTATCAATTCTAAAAGCAGTTTTTTTGTAATTTTTATATCACTGAAATTAGGATGCATCTTAAAATCTATGTTGTCTTAGGTTTAATGAAATATGACAGGTCAAGATATTTGTATTGATTCTTATTTGTGGATGACATGAGTGTAACTTTTTTTTTTTTTTTTAAGATTGCAGGCCTAAGTCTACCTCTTCCTCCCAAAAAATTGATTGGTAACATGGATCGTGAATTCATAGCCGAGAGGCAGAAAGGCCTTCAGAACTATCTCAACGTGATCACCACAAATCATATATTGTCTAATTGTGAGCTGGTTAAGAAGTTTTTAGATCCAAACAACTATTCCGCAAACTACACTGGTAAGCAATGGAATCTGTGAGCTATGGTCACATGGCTAAAGAGGCCCTTGCTGTCCCTTGCTGGAGATAACATATGTGGGAAAAGCTCTTTCTCAAAATGGGGATGTGTACACATTTGTTATATCGTATTACAAATTTACTAAGATTTTCTTCATTGTAGTTTACTATAGATGTATAAGAAGAAAATAATTTATTTCCAAAATGTTTGTAAAGTCTGCAAAGAAAAATATGGAGGAGAAATTGTTGTATATACTTATACTCTTGTCTTTATTGTCTTCCCTGACAGAACAGACAGTAAATAATCCACAATAGGTTGGGTGCCGTGGCTTTCGCCTGTAATCCCAGCACTTTGGGAGGCTGAGGCGGGTGGATCACCTGAAGTCAGCAGTTCAAGACCAGCCTGGCCAACATGGTGAAACCCCGTCTCTAGTAAAAATACAAAAATTAGCCGGGCGTGGTGGCACATGCCTGTAATCCCAGCTATTATAGGGCTGAGGCAGAATTGCTTGAACACGGGAGGTGGAGGTTGCAGTGAGCTGAGATAGTGCCACCGCACTCTAGCCTAGGCAACAGAATGAGACTCCATCTTTAAAAAAAAGTTTCACACTAACGCATACAGTAATTTTTATATTAATTGTGACCTCTAATCAATATCTTGCATATATAATAATCTTAATTTGATTTGTATTTGGCTGTTTTTGTATTTACAATATGTTGTGTGTTTCTGTTTTTTTCTGGGAATTTAAACACAGCAGTGATTCAGAAAGATCCTTTCTATGTCTTCCTATTTGCTTCCTGAGACCCACTCAGAGCAAAGCATAGGAGTTCTCTTCCAAATCTTTTCTGGATCAGGGCAGCCGCCAAGGGACTGTGGTGGAAAGGGCTTTTCTTCCAATACCGATTACACTCAAAGCTGGCATCAGTAACCTTTGCCTGATGTCAGCAGAATGAGAAACTAAACATTTAATACATTCTGGTGTCACTTTGGAGAAAACAATAGAAACTATTGTTTCACCTGATTTGTTAAAGACAAACCATGCTTTAGAGACCAAGTGGAACTATGGATATTGTTAATTTCCTTGCTAAGAGAATACATCGGATCAGATAATTTAGTCCTTAAAACATTGTTTTTGAAGTAATTAGAGAGAGGCACTTTTATTCCTATTTCATTTTTATTTATTTATTCACACTCATTCATTTACCAAAATATTCCTGTTTCAGAGAGGCAAAACAGATGTCTACTTGGCAGGCACCAAGTTTTCTCCATAGTAGAATCACCTGGGGAGCATTAAAAAATTCTCATGCCCAGGCTGCATGCATGCTGATTAAATCAGAGTCTCTGTGGGTGGAGCTTGTAGTCTGTAAAGCTTCCCGAGTGATTCCAATATGGAGCCAAATTTCAAAACCACAGCCCTTGAGGCTTGTGACTCACAGTGTGGTTCTCTGACCAGCAGCATTGGCATCACTGGGAGCTTGTTGAAGGTGCAGAATTCAGTCCTCAACCAGGAGCTGATTTTAACAAGGTCTCCAAGTGATTTGCATGCATATTAAAGCATAAGCCTTGCTCTAGAATGTACCTACCATTTTCTAACCGAAGTGCTGTGCAGGGCTAAGGAAAATGCCTTTCTAGAGTGTAACCAAGAGAAGGAAAGTTTATTTCAAACTCACACTTATTGTAAGTTACCAAATGGAGCATTGAGTTGTTACAAGGATTCCATTCTTCCCTCCACTTGTTTTGTTGTTCACATAAGAGAAAAGATAGCACAGATAGGACTGGGGCTCTAGGGACAGCTTGAACTCTGTCAAAGTAGCATCTTTTGTGGCTTTCATTTCTCAGTGTTTCACCTAGTTCCCCAAATTGTCAGACAGCAGGCCATCTGGATTGACTTGTCAAATCAGCCCTAACCCAGGCCCACTCAGTGGTTTATCTCCTGCAAGTGGTTCGTTCCCTGCAAGTGGCTGCTGATGTTCTCCTAGGGGCTAGCATCAAGGTGTAGTGCACGTGTAATGATGCCATTTGTTCAACAGATGTGATGTGTGCTGGGCAGTAGGGATGCAGCACAAACACATGTGCTCTTGCTCTCAGGGAGCTGGCACCAGAAGTACATTGAGTCTCATGGGGTCAGAGCTAAAAGGGATCTTAGAGCAGATGTATCATGTATAAGATCCCTCCCTTTTCATAAATGAGTTCAACCAAGGCCCCCAGAGAGGGAGGGCCTTACCCAGGATTGCACATTTGTGTGACTTTAGTCTGGTCTGAATGTTTAAGTTAAATGCTGTGTGGCTTCTGGAAGGTTGTCTATTCTGACAGTTGTCGGTTCTTTGCTTTTTCTGTACCTCCCCCACATGCTGTTATTGTCTTTGATCTCTACTCCCCGAACCCCACCCCTCAGCCTCCATCATGATAGAGGGTCAGAAGTCCCAAGCAGATGTGGCAGGAGTATAAAAAGACCACGAGAAACTCCTGCCAGAACCTGCAGTGGCCGCTATTCAGAAGGCACGATCCCATAAACAATAGGTGATGGATGCTGTTTTCAGAGAGATGGTGATTTATTTTCCCCTTTGAATGAAATGTCAGAATTTGTCTAGCCTCGAGGCTGACACACCAGCCACTTCAGGAAAGGGAAGCACAGGCCTCCACCTCCATGCCAGCTTGACAGGACCATTCCTGAGATTCACAGCATGGCCCACAGTTCTCTGAGCACACCCTGCACACCTCCCACCTTGTGGCACTTCTCTAAGCAGGGCCACTTTTCCCCAGTTTGTTTTTTGAGCAAAGGCCTCACTCTTGTCCAGGCTGGAGTGCAGTGGCACAATCTCAGCTCTGCACAGCCATGACCTTCTGGATTCAAGTGATTCTAGCACCCCAGCCTCCGGAGTAGCTGGGATTACAGGTGCACACCCAGCTGATTTTTTAATTGTTTGTAGAAAGGCAGTTTCACTGTGTTGCCTTGGCTGGTCTCGAACTCTTGTGCTCAAATGATCTGCACGCCTTGGCCTCCCAGTGTTGGGATTACAGGCGTGAGCCACTTCACCTGGCCCCGTTCCATTTTAATGTGGGTAATGTCTCCACGTCTTCTCATTTTCCACATGGTCTTCAGTCACCATCCAGCTTCATTTCAGCAGGATTTGAGTTCTGTGTTCAAGTGGTGGCCAGAATCAGCAGAGCACTTTTCCTGTTCCTTGCTGTGACAGAGGGTGAGGGTGCCTTGTTGGAGGGGGACTGTGATGGCATTCTGCTCCTAGGGGATGGCTAACCAGGAGCTCTCAGGACATTGGCAGCTTCCTTCTCTCTTTCCTGAGTGCCCAGCCTGGGACTGCTGGGCCTTTCTTTCTTTTCCAGGTTTTCCCCAGAAGAGCCATTCCTCAGAAAGGATATGTAGGTCCTTGGTCTTCTGTGAGGGAGTTGTGAGAGGTGTTCATTGGAATTAAAAAGTCTAATTGAGGGCCAGCTGTTGTGCAGGGAGAACAGGTATCTCTTGGTCATGAGGAGTTTGTGTTGAGAATCTTTCTCACACACACATATGCCCCTTACAGTATTCATCTTTTTAACAGGGTACTTCTATCATTTAAAAGCCTTACTGCACTGTAGCCATCTTCCCGCCTCAATCCTCATACCCTCTTGAAGTAAGGGGGTTTTAATTTCCAGGCAAAAGTCCATTGGACCAGAAATCAAGAGGCCTGTATCCTTGTCCTAGCTTCGTCATTAGCAGTGCTTCTTCTCTGAGGGCCCACATCCTGACCTGTAAAACAAGAGGCTGGGGAGGGGGAATGGACCAGGGAGTGCTGAAGTTCCCTTTGAGGCCTAAAGCCCCAGGAATCCCTTGAATAGGTAGGATAATAGTGGACTCGAGGATATAAACAGGGAGGGAGACGGGAAAGAGGACTATGTTTAGAACGACAGTAGGATATTTGGTGAGGTTGCAGGCCTCTCTGCAGTGCAACCTGCTGTAGTGGACTAGGGGTCTGGACCCCAGCTCCAGTCCTAGAGGAGTCAGTGTTTGTTCCCTGCAGTCACTCCATGGGGCTGGGATTGAGGAATTCAATGACTGCTCGCAGTGGGGGCGCCTGGAACAACTGAGCTCTGTGGGAAGCGCAGGATGGGCTTGAAGGCTGTGCTCTCCATTTCCTGTCTCCAGCCTGCTTATCAGCACTTTCTGAGCATGCAGTTTTTCCACATGTGGCAGTCAGTTCCTGTGTCAGAACTAGAGGGCAGATGCCTTCCTTCTCATGGATTTCATGTTCTAATGGGAGAGAGGTTCCACATCTGCTGAACGTGTATTGAACCCTTGGTTGCTGCTTCATCAAATACTTATTGAGCATCTACTCTGTGCCAGGTGCTATTTATACAGCAAGGAGGAAAGAATAATTCCCCCACTTCCTACTCCAGGCAGTTACGCAGGGAGATTGGCAGGTGATGGCTGTGGCAGAGTAAATGCTAGGCAGCACCTTGGGGAAGGGGGCGGAGGCATGGATGATCCACACCTAAAGATGAAGGAAGGCTTTCCAGAAGAGGTCAGTCCTACACAGAGACCTTAGGGGTGAGTAGACGTTAGCCAGGCTGAGAGGCAGTGGCCAATGCTCTGGGCAGAGCAGCTTGAGAAGATATATCCTGGCATCACCCAGATATACAGCCAGAGCATACAGTCTCTGTGGAAGAGAGGAGCACTAAAATAGGACATTCAGAGGATAATGCCGTAAGAGAGGGGCACATATAGCACGGGGAGTGTACAGAGGAGAGAAGGAGGGAGGGAGAAAGTCCCAGCTAAGGGAGCAAAACATCTGGGCTGAGTCTGGGCCAGATGAAAAACGCTGAGGAAGTGGGACAGGCCAGTCTTTAGGGGCCATAGTAAGCAAATCTCAGAGTACAGAGAGACCCCACATACTGTGGGAGATAAAGCCACAAAGGTAGGTTAAAGCCAGAGGTTGCTTGAACCCTAGATATATATAAGCTGGGTCTTGATTTGGCGGGGAAGTGGGGAATGAGTAAAGGCTTCTAAGCAGAGGAGTAGATGTTTAGGATTGAAATGTATTGTCCGAGTCTGGGGAATGAGGGGATTAATATTAGGCACATGATGGTCATGCAGTTTATTTGACAGTAAATCACAGTTCAGTGGGAAGAAATTGTCCTTTCTCCAATTCCCTGACTCCTAAGTGAAAAAGCTATTTCCCAGTCCTCAGTTTATCAGTAAGAAATCCAGTATGTTCCATTTATTCACAGCTGTTTCCTCCATTCCTAAAACAAGGTATGGCACGTAGTAGCATACAGTAAATATTGCTGAATAATGATTTTGTGGAGAGTTATATGTCACTGTCAGTCTTTTAGAATGACATTGTACACATTAGAGAATTATTTTTCATGTTCCTTCGTAAAGTTGATGTGAATGATTTTCACTATATTTCCTTTTAAGTTTCTTTATGTTCAAGTTACTTTGGAAATACTAAAACCACTTTATATTATCATGAATTATAAACGAGGTACAAGGTTCCCAGTGTTGATAATGGAAGTCTGTGTGTTTCTGCTGCACGCAGCTCTTCCAGATGGTTTGTCACACACTGGGGTAGTTAGAACAAATGTGAATGGAGCCCGTTTTGTATTTGGTCATCACATGTTTTCTTCTGAGTAGATGCCATTGACACTTTACATATTGAGTCAGTAAACAAATAGCTAGTAAATTGTTTTCTTCCCTGAATCTCTTAACTCAAAATGTACTATAAAATATATCCAAATAATGATGTTTGCCAAGCTCTTGATATGTGAATTGCAAACAAGGTCATTTTGACATATGGAGAGCATTTCTGCTGAATCCCTCATGCCTCACCAGTCTGCCTGGAATGTAATTAATGCTAGGCAGAAGTGAAATTCCACAGTGCATTTGGAGGATTGCTGTTTGCTTTCAAGGATCTGGAGTGGCTTCATTTACTCACTTCAGTGAGGGGAAATGGCAAATTATAGATGTTGCTTTTTACAGGAAATGTAAAAGCACAGCTATTTTGATAATTTTTTAATGCAGTGAACTTTAAAGAACTTCCTTTTCTCATTGTCTTCTTAAAAGGGGGAAACATTTTCATGATAAATGAACACAAAAAGAAAGTCACCGAGTGCCTGTTTTTCCTGAGTAAACATGCACTCCGTGACTTTCCACAATAGAACCATGTTGTTGCTGTACACTGGCTTTTATTTCTAGTATATATTTAAGGGTAATCACTTTTTTGTTGATGAAAGCTATAATTCCAGATGGGATAAATAGTACTTGGAGCAACATTAAATGCTGTCCCAAGCTGACCTTAGAACATGTTTTGAGTTTTGGGCTTAGGTTGTGGTCTGGTACATACATTGAATTCTTGGCTTAAACCAGCTAGATTACATATTTTAGATTTTCCAGTTTTGAAATATATACATTTTCAACATTATTAATAACTTTTAAAATGAACTTTACATTTTGGAGTAATTTTAGATCTTTTTTTTTCTTTTTTTTTTTTTTTTGAGACGGAGTTTCCCTCTTGTTACCCAGGCTGGAGTGCAATGGCGCGATCTCGGCTCACCGCAACCTCCGCCTCCTGGGTTCAGGCAATTCTCCTGCCTCAGCCTCCTGAGTCGCTGGGATTACAGGCACGCGCCACCATGCCCAGCTAATTTTTTGTATTTTTAGTAGAGACGGGGTTTCACCATGTTGACCAGGATGGTCTCGATCTCTTGACCTCATGATCCACCCGCCTCAGCCTCCCACAGTCCTGGGATTACAGGCTTGAGCCACCGCGCCCGGCTAATTTTAGATTTATACAGAGATTGCAGTGGGCTGGGTGCAGTGGTTCATGCCTGTATTGTCAGCACTTTGGGAGGTCGAGATGGGCGGCTCTCTTGAGCCCAAGAGTTTGAGACCAGTCTGTACTTCATCTCTAAAAAAAAAAACCAAAAACACACACCAGAAATTAGCCAGGGCTGGTGGCACATGCTTGTAGTCCCAACTATTCGGGAGGCTAAGGTGGAAGGATCACTTGAGCTCAGGAGGTTGAGGTTGCAGTGAGCCGTGATTGTGCCACTGCATTCCAACTGGGCAACAGAGTGAGACCCTATCTCAAAAAACAAAAAAGTAAACAAAAGAAGTTGCAATGATAGTACAGAAAATTTCCATATGCTTCTCACCCAATTTCTGCTAATTTTTATTTATTTTTTTGAGATGGAGTCTTGCTTCATTGCCAGGCTGGAATGCAGTGGCAGGATCTCGGCTCACTGCAGCCTCTGGCTCCTGAGTTCAAGTGATTCTCCTGCCTCAGCCTCCTGAATAGCTGGGACTACAGGTGCATACTACCACGCCCAGCTAATTTTTGTACTTTTAGTAGAGACAAGGTTTCACCATGTTGGCCAAGATGGTCTCCATCTCTTGACCTCATAATCCGCCTGCCTCAACCTCCCAAAGTGCTGGGATTACAGGTGTGAGCCACCACACCCAGCCTCTCCTAATGTTAATATCTTATATAACCATGGTACATTTATCAAAGCTAGAAATGAATATTAATTTTTAATAAAGTTACAAGTTCGTAACTTTTAATACTTAATGAACCTTGGTTAAAGCCCCTTCAAAAGATTTGGATGGTAATAACTTTCAGAACCACCATTCCTTCTTCATCTATCTTTTTCACTAAATCTAAACTGAAGTGTTATTTTTCCTTCTATTTCCATGAATAATTTCTTTATTTACCGTTTCTTTTTAAGTTACATTTTTAAGTTAATGTTACATTAACTATGGGCTTTATTCAGATTTTACCACCTTTTCTGCTAATGTACTTTTTCTGTTCCATGGTTCAGTCTAGAATCCCACATTGCATTTAGTTTGTGTTTTTTTTTTTTCTTTTTATTTTTTTGGTAATGAAGATTTTTAAAAAGGTCATAGACTATAAGGATTTCATTTACAAGAATAGCATCTTCAGCATATGGCCCTTTGCTGATATATCTGACTAATGAGTTTCTAAAATGTCTTTGCAGAGATTGCCTTACAACAGGTTTCCATGTTCTTCCGATCAGAACCAAAGTGGGAGGTGGTGGAACCTTTGAAAGACATAGGTGAGACACTGGCATGCTCATTCTCTTAAAAAGACAGATCACAGAACTGGATCCTTAGTCATGCTTTCTGGTTCATATCCCAAGAACATGCTTAAATGCAGGTGACTTCTTTTTCTTTTTGCTTTGTGACTGCTTGAGAATACAGTTCTTAACTTTTAATACTTAATGAACCTTGGTTAAAGCCCCATCAAAGGATTTGGATGGTAATAACTTTCAGAACCACCATTCCTTCTTCATCTATCTTTTTCACTAAATCTAAACTGAAGTGCTATTTTCCTGCTACTTCTGGGAACAATTTCTTTATTTATATTTAGTCTTTCTTTTTAAGTACACCCTTTACTGTGTCAATGTTATCAAATGGTTCTTTTGCGTGTGCCTATGTAGCTGCAAATAATATTGCCAAACTTAATTTTTCTTGATTATTTAGTCACTGAAACATATCAATTGTTGCAAAAATTATGCAGCTCTAAGCATGTTTTTGCTTTTATGGCAGGTTGGAGAATAAGGAAGAAATATTTCTTGATGAAGATTAAAAATCAGCCAAAGGAACGGCTAGTGTTAAGCTGGGTAAGCTAGCTTTTTGCTTCGGTGTCATTTCAGTGACTTTAGATGGTTAGTGAAAGGAGATTTGACAAGAGAATTACAAAATTGTACTGTGCTCTTAAGCGATTATGTAAAGGCTTCCTTGGTCCATTTAAAAGAATAGTCATTTTAAGTCATTTTCCTGCGCATTTGGTTATGTAAATGCAATTATATTTGGTCAACTAGTAAACATTTGGAAAGAAATAGGAACAGATTAAAATAACTCTCTGGAATCTATTTAGGGTATACAGTTTTGGAGAGTACTTCCAAAAAAAAAAAAAAAAAACTTGGGCATTACTTTATCTCTTTGAGAGTTTTAGTGATACATTTGGTTAATGGAATTAGGTATGATTACAGTTAAGTTTTTTTTTTTCTTTTAACGGAGTCTCGTTCTGTCACCCAGGATGGAGTGGAGTGCAGTGGCATGATCTTGGCTCATTGAAGCCTTCACCTTTCAGGTTCAAGTAATTCTCCTGTCTCAGCCTTCCGAGTAGCTGGGATTCCATGGGCCTGCCACCACGCCCAGCTAACTTTTTTGTATTTTTAGTAAAGATGGGGTCTCACCATGTTGGTCGGGCTGGTCTTGAACTCCTGACCTCAGGTGATCCATCCACCTCAGCCTCCCAAAGTGCTGGGATTATAGGCATGAGCCACCTTGCCCGACAAGTCTGGTATTTTTACACACTGCTTCTCCAGAAAGGTCTTGAGGCAGCTAGATTTAGTGTGGTTTTCATCTTTGGTTTCCAGTCATATATTGGGACAAATAAAATTAAAGGGAAAGACAAGGAATTTTTCTTTTGGTGACCAAAGCAGTACCCTGATATTCCCTTCCATGTTTTCAGGCTGACCTTGGCCCGGACAAGTATTTGTCAGATAAAGATTTTCAGTGTCTAATCAAACTTCTGCCTTCCTGTTTGGTGAGTATACATCTTTCTGTTATTCTCAGTGCTGATGACAGAGTCACAGTGTTTTTTTGTGGGTGAACATGGACAGAAGAGCTGAAAAAGAGAATGGGGAGGTCCAGTGGATTTCAGTTCAGACTGAAATTGTGTAGGGCCAAGCGCATAGATCATAGGCCGTTTGAAATAGCATTTATGACATCTGCACAACCCATGAAACATGGTCATTTAAATATAGACTTTGTATTTTAAATAAAGATCAGAGTAGGGAAGCAGCCACTTCTCTCAGCCTCTTGTTCTTGGCGAGGGTTTTTATATCAGTGGAACTGAAAGATACTCTTTCCAGCTTGAGAAAACAGAACTAATAAGGATTTAGATAAGCTGGGTCAAGAAAAGGCAGAATAGCCATTTTTCTATCTGAGTTACTACCCTCACAGGCCAACCAGTTGACCTTTAGGAGTACATGGTATTATTTACGCTACTACACAGCTCTAATCTAGGGCCTTCAGTGCAAAGAACCACATAGATATATTTCAAAATGTGTGCAGAATGTCTTCAGCAAAGACTAATCTGGCCAGAAAATTTAGTTAACTTTGACATTCTTTATCTTGTCTGCATGAAGATGTCACTGGAATGAGTCACTAGTGAACTGAACCCAATTACGCTGATTTGTGCACTTGGCTTGGCAAGTTTGTTTTTGGCCATATAGTGTCTTGTCAAACTGGCAAAACCAAGCTGTTAATGAGGTGCGATCTGAGGTCAAAAAGACCCTTTGGTCTTAAAGCTTGATTGGGCCGGACCTGGTGGCTCACGCCTGTAATCCAAGCACTTTGGAGGCTAAGGCGGGCGGATCACCTGAGGTTGGGAGTTCAAGACCAGCCTGACCAATATGGTGAAACCCCGTCTTTATTTAAAAAAAAAAAAAAAAAAGAAAGAAAGAAAAAAGCTTGATTGGTTGTGTGATACAGGCTGTCAGGATCCAGTTTTAAATTTCCTTTTTTTTTTTCTTTTTTTCAAAATGGAGTCTCACTCTGTCACCCAGGCTGGAGTGCAGTGGCATGATCTCGGCTCACTGCAACCTTCACCTCCTGGGTTCAAGCAATTCTCCTGCCTCAGCCTCCTGAATAACTGGGATTATAGGAGGGTACCACCATACCTGGCTAATTTTTATATTTTTAGTAGACACTGGGTTTTACCATGTTGGTCAAGCTGGTCTCAAACTCCTGGACTTGCAGTCTGCCTGCCTTGGCCTCCAAAGTGCTGGGATTACAGGCATCAGCCACCTCACCAGCCCTAAATGTCTTTTAATAGATGTGCTTCTCTAAAAAAAGATCGCACATATAAATGGTGCATATTAATTGTAGCAAAGTCAGAAGACAGGTAAGCAAACATAAGAAAATAAAACTCACCTGTAATCCCAATCATCCAGAAGTATAGTGAACCAAAATGTTCAGTTGTTACTGTTTAAGAATTTTTATGATTAAAAAAAAGGAAATTTTATTTATAAAATATATTTATAATTTACATTTACAAATTTATTTTAAAAACCAAGTTTTAAGACACTATATATAAAATTTATAAATATATTTATATATTTATATAAATTATATATATAGTGTCTTAAAATCTAATTTTTTTTCATTATTGGTGTACCATGAGCATCTTTAGTTGTCAGTAAATATAGTATAGCATCATTATCTTGGGGTATATACAATTAAAATTGGCTATAACTTAGTTTACTCAATCTTCTGTTGACATTTAGATCAACTCCAGGTTTTTGCTCTTATTTTTTTAAAAAGAAAAAAGCCAGGCCGGGCGCGGTGGCTCAAGCCTGTAATCCCAGCACTTTGGGAGGCCGAGGCGGGTGGATCACGAGGTCAAGAGATCGAGACCATCCTGGTCAACATGGTGAAACCCCGTCTCTACTAAAAATACAAAAAATTAGCTGGGCATGGTGGCGCATGCCTGTAATCCCAGCTACTCAGGAGGTTGAGGCAGGAGAATTGCCTGAACCCAGGAGGCGGAGGTTGCGGTGAGCCGAGATTGCGCCATTGCACTCCAGCCTGGGTGACAAGAGTGAAACTCTGTCTCAAAAAAAAAAAAAAAAAAAAGAAAAAAGCCATAGTGAACAATTTTTGCTAAACATTATACCCATCCTTAATTTCTTAAGATAAATATCTATAATTAATTGTGAGACTACATATTCTGTTCTTTATCAGGCCCAGTAGCATTTTAGCATTTAATGTGATTTTTTGTTTGTTTGTTTGTTTCTTTGAGTTGGAGTCTCGATCTGTCACCCAGACTGGAGTGCAGTGGCGTGATCTCAGCTCACTGAACCTCTGCCTCCTGGGTTCAAGTGATTCTCCTGCCTCAGCCTCCTTAGTAGCTGGGACTACAGGTGCATGCCACCACACCCAGGTCATTTTTGTATTTTTAGTATAGACTAGGTTTCACCATGTTGGCCAGGATAGCCTTGATCTCTTGACCTCAGGTGATCTACCTGCCTTGGCCTCCCAAAGTGCTGGGATTACAGGGTGAGTCACACTGTGCCTGGCCTAATGTGATTTTCTAACTCTATTATTCCTTCTGTATTTATTTATTAGTTGGCATTCTACCCTAAAGAGCTTCTCTTCTCCCTTTTAAAAAATTTTATATGAGTATGTACTCAGTATACTCTTATTCTACCCATTGTGTTTCTTTTTCGGGTGTTGAAAATATTCCATAATTAGATTGTATGATGGTTGTATAACTGTGAATATGTTGAAAATCATTGAATTGTACCATTTAAATGGGTGAATAGTAATGGCATGTGAATTATATCTCAATAAAGCTATGAAAAAGTTAGCAGCAACCATTCTGATGGGATGTTCAGGAGAACTTCATGATCAATTACTACATTTTCCTGAGTACACCTTTCCACCCTGCCAACCTAATGCATGTCAGCCTCAAAATCCCTGCATAGCTCAGCTCCCATGGGTTTAAATTTTCATGATACTCCTTTGAGTTAATGAGCACTGTAATACCTGTCTGGAGCCAGTTTGTTTCATGTAACCAGAATTCCAGGGAAAAAGAGCACTTTCCTTTCACTCATTAAATAATTTATCTTTTTTCCACCCCAATTGGTTAATGTCAGTGTCCCCATCTGAGGAGGACACTGTGAATCATTGTACTGCAAACTTCTATAGAAGGGTAGGAAGATTCATGCTAGCTCCTGTGGAAAAGGGCTGAGATTCCAGAAGATGGTACTTTTGCCTGTTTTCTGGCTGTTATGCTTTTTGGCTTGGTACCTAAACAGCAGTGCAGAATGTAAGGGTAAGCTGTGAGCAAAGACACATTATCCTAATCCCCACTTGGCTGTTCTGAGATTTGGCTGTGTTCTTTACTGACTTACAGAGACCGGATATTAACACCATTATCCTCCAAACTGGGACATTTTCTCTCTTCCACCACACTTCTGCCTGAGCTAAGAGAGTACACACACCAAAGAGGACCCCTTCACTTGTAGAGTTTACCACATCCATCACCTGTTCCCTGTTTTCTTTTGTTCCTACAGTTTATGCCCCTTCTCCATCTGAAGAAGGAGGGACTAGCTGGTCATTGAAAATGCCACGTGTTCAGGGAATATGACCACATTCGTGTGCAATGAAACCACCACAGTGGTACATGACTCTGCATAACCAGATCCTGGATTTAAAAGGACCTAGATCCTGATGCAAATCAATGTGAATGTCTTTTTTTGTTTTGACAGCACCCTTACATCTATCGGGTTACCTTTGCCACAGCTAATGAATCCTCAGCGTTGCTAATTAGGATGTTTAATGAAAAGGGAACTTTGAAGGATCTGATCTACAAGGTACTTATGCAAGCTTATGGTCATAAGGAAGTTCTCAGGTTCCTTTAGAATGTATTATTGATACTTAGTCTCTAAGACTCCAGAGGCTAGGCCCTGAGGATTTAATGTTAGTTTTGATGTTATTTGGAATTTATTTTTACTCATGCAATAAGAACTCAGTTTGGCTAAAGAGCATTCCTATTCCCACATGAGGAAAGGTTGAACATGTAATAATTATGTCCATTACATTGCAAGCTGCTTTCTTAGGTCAGTTTTTAAGTTTGTGTTTTGCACTTAACAAAGCAGTACTGTAGATTCAAACAATATGCAAGACGTTGGGGTCTGCTAAGGATAAGACCAGGCACATCTTCACTGGGCTAGAGAAGGGATGGAACCTGGGTCAGCCACTTTCTTCTATCAACTACACAGACTGCTGTATTTTAAAAACTCACATCCTGCAGCTGGCCATCTCTGGCACCCCTAGCCTCTGTAGAATCCTGCCTGGTCAGAGAGTCTGTGTGCAGATGCTGGCCCCGCTGCTGCTTTCTTATGTGTTCTTTGTTCTTTTCCAAAGGCAAAACCAAAAGACCCATTTTTAAAGAAGTACTGCAACCCTAAGAAGATTCAGGGCCTGGAACTACAGCAAATAAAAACATATGGACGGCAAATATTAGAGGTAAGAGGTACTTTAGTTTAAGTTTCATTCAGATGTCATCCAAAATTGCATTATTCATCTGGAAAACTTCTTAAGTAATATCTAAAATCACTTAAGTTGTCTGATTGCTTATAAACTGATTGCAGTGTCATATTTTGCCTCAACAAGCAATATTTGAGGCTAAGGCAACAGTCACTTAGGTCTACGAAATTCTTAAAGCTTTAGCTCTTGCAATTTAGTGTCTGAGTTTTAAGAACTTAAAAAGTTTGGCCGGGCGCGGTGGCTCACGCCTGTAATCCCAGCACTTTGGGAGGCCGAGGCGGGTGGATCACAAGGTCAAGAGATCGAGACCATCCTGGTCAACATGGTGAAACCCCGTCTCTACTAAAAATACAAAAAATTAGCTGGGCATGGTGGCGTGTGCCTGTAATCCCAGCTACTCAGGAGGCTGAGGCAGGAGAATTGCCTGAACCCAGGAGGCGGAGGTTGCGGTGAGCCGAGATCGCGTCATTGCACTCCAGCCTGGGTAACAAGAGTGAAACTCCGTCTCAAAAAAAAAAAAAAAAAAACCTTAAAAAGTTCTTAAAAAGTGTGGACACCAACTTTTATATTATCTTTAGTTGCCCTTTATCCCTTTGCCAAGATTTTTGATTTTGTTATGTCATATACATAGCCATATGGCTCCCTTACAGAGGTATAACCAGCAGTGAAAAGCCTTCCTTACATTACCCTCTAGACCAGTATTCTCCAAGCTTCTGGGGTTATGCAACCATATCAGTAATAACCAATTTAATATCCCAATGTTATAGCTGTTTAACCTTAAATTATATATGTAATACACACATATATGTGTGTATGTGTGTGTGTGTGTGTATATATATATATATATATATATTACTTTTTTGGATGAGGCAGCATACTAGTAATATATTTTGTATAAGTTAAAAAAGAATAATATTTTTTAAAAACAACAACTAGGAAGAGAAGTTGTAATATTTTGTTCCAGCCCTTAGTGAATTGCTCTGGGCACCCCACTTGGCTATCACTGCTCTAGCTCACGAGGGCATTGCAGGGCTATATCTAAGCATCTCTATTACTGGGTAAGCCACTGATTATTTACATGGCAGCTGAAAGATTTGCTTCTTTTTCTGGGAGCCTGTTGTGTGTTCCTATTAATAAACAGCTAAATATATTTGGAGGAGAGACTGAACTAGAGATGTTTTCTAGTTCAACCCCTTTTTCTGAATTACTGGCAGAATCACAGATATGATAGCTTCACTCATCTATGCAGGATGATCAAGACTTTGCCCTGAAGAGAGCTGGCCTATTGGAATCAGAAAGTGCTTAAAGCAGAGCCTTTTGGCATTGGAGTTATTAATTCCAAGCATATGCAGGCTGCTTCTCTATCCTTTTGGGGAAAGAAAGAACTGGTGTTGTGTCTCATAGCCTCAAAGCTGGAAAGCATTCAATTTCACTCCCTTTTCCAAACAAATGGGTAGATGTGGCATTTTTCTTCAGGAATCTTCCCAGTGACCTGTTTGGTTTTATTTCAAAATATATTGACGTAAAAACAAAGTTTAACTTATCTTATCTCTGAATGAGTTGGGGGAAAATGTAACTTACCTGTGTGCTTTAATAGGTACTGAAGTTTCTTCATGACAAGGGATTCCCTTATGGGCATCTTCATGCCTCCAATGTGATGCTCGATGGGGACACTTGCCGGCTGCTAGACCTTGAGAATTCCTTATTGGGCCTGCCTTCCTTCTACCGATCTTATTTTTCACAATTCAGGAAAATCAATGTAAGTTGCTAAAGTAATGAAGTAGCAGGCTCATTTTTAGGTGTCAGGTATCCCATGATCTGCTCATGTAGGAAATATGTACCAATGTACAGTTGGGGCAGGCCTTGCCTATCAGCCCCATTTGTCCCTTGGAGCATTGCTGTATCTCCAGGAGGCTGAGTTGAAATGGCTGGTGGGGTAAGGAGGGAGGTAGACTGACTGATTGGAAAACTGTAGACGCTCAGACCGAGACCTTTGGGATACCTCATGAGGTTTTACAAAAGGCTTTGGAGTTGCATTTACACTACCAATTAGGAGTGGGGCTATCCCTGGGCTTTGTTTCTCAGAGGAGGCTTGGGGCAGGAGCGTGGTGGTCCATAAAGCCAAAGTGAAGGGTGAACACGCTGCTGGTCTCTTTCTTCCGCAGACATTGGAAAGTGTGGATGTCCACTGCTTTGGCCACTTACTGTATGAAATGACTTACGGACGACCTCCAGACTCGGTGCCTGTGGATTCCTTCCCTCCGGCCCCGTCCATGGCTGTGGGTCAGTATGGGGTTGGGAAGGGTCTTCTGGGCCCTGGTAGTATGCAGAGCCACTCATCCCCTTTCCAGAGTCCAGGAAAGACCCAGAGGAAGTTGCTGTCCTCTACAGCCAGAAATTCTTACCCATTTAAAAGTAGATAAAATTTGAGTAGTTAACTTAAATACACTTCGGTGATAATTCAGGTGGCTTGTCCATTTGTCAGGCTATCTGAAGTTTCTGGGAACTTTTTGTAAAATGCTTTAGAATTTTGGAAGCAGGAGGATATAAAGAGAAGTATGGCCTGCATGAGTGTGATGCAGAAGTCAGAGCCAGGCAATGCAAAGCCAGTCTGGAGGAGACTCAGGCAGGCATCAGAAGTCAGATCAAGGCTGGAGTGAGACTTGTAAGAAACAAGAGAGGCCAGACACAGTGGCTCATGCCTGTAATCCCAGTACTTTGAGAGGCTGAGGTAGGTGGATCACATGAGGTCAGGAGTTCGAGACCCACCTGGCCAACATAATGAAACTTTGTCTCTACTAAAAATGCAAAAATTAGCGGGGATGTGGAGATGCATGCCTGTAATCCCAGCTTTCTGGTGGCTGAGGCACAAGAATTGCTTGAACCTGCCTCTTGGGAGGTGGAGGTTGCAGTGAGCGGAGATAACACCACTGCATTCTAGCCTGGGCGACACAGTGAGACTCTGCCTCAAAAAAAAGAAAAAAAAAAGAAGAAGAAACAAGAAAGCCAAAGCCATAGGCCGGAAACCTAGTAGATAAGAGCCTAGCAGGCCCAGACCTAGGGCAGGCAGGCAGTAATGCAGACACCCAGACAAATTGGATCCGGGAGCTCTTACAGAATTACCTGAGGGGGCTGAGGCGAGCTGGAGGACAAGTGAGAGCACCTTTAGGAAGAAGGGATGCAGGAACTAGTGCAGACCATCCAGGACCCTGTTGTCCCCTCCACAGCTAGGCCAGAACTCATGGCTGGAGCAGAAAGAGGAGAGGGCAGGGTAGCTCTTGGACCCCTGTGCCTTGGAGATATGTAAGTCTACCCTTCACCAAGTGTTATGGCATCACATGAGGCAATTCAGGAGAACAGGCCTGGGACTATATCTTTTGTTGAATGTGAACCACTGACACTGAACAGTGGCCTGTGGGTAGAAAAATCTGGCTGCTCCCGTTAGTAGCATCCAAGGTGTTGGTTGATGAGATATCAACAATTGGCATTTTGTGCACTGGTTTTGATGAAAAGCAGGCAAGCAGCAAAATGTCTTTCAAGTTGAGAATTTTACTTCTGTGTAGTGTTTACTTCTCTTTCAAGAGAACAAACACTTGTATGAATGATATCTTGAATCCTTCCTCCAATTATCTTTGAAATATATTTAGCTTTCTGTCAGCATGTAGTTTCTAAACCATTTCTTTTGAGTCATTGGTAACGCCAGTGTTGCCAGCATTCCCCTACCCTACGTATGCCATCTGTCTGTGTGTGAAGAGTTTTGACACTGTCCTGATCAGCCCGCAGACAGTTATTGCAAAGTGGCGTCAAACTTTTCATCAGCAAGTGGATTTGCCAGCGTGTTCTGTGGAACTAAAATGTGTATCTGTTCATTTCAAGTGGCCGTGTTGGAGTCTACGCTGTCTTGTGAAGCCTGTAAAAACGGCATGCCTACCGTCTCCCGGCTCTTACAGATGCCGTAAGTCAATCATATGCGTTGGTTGTAATCTTGATAACCATGTTGAACACCAGACCACTGTGTCTAAGCACCTGATACTGTAGTGAAGACTCTTGCGGTCCCTGCAGAGTTGGCCTGGCCTGCTTGCTGATGGCCACCTGTAGCATGATGTCCTGACCCTTTGTTTGTGACCTCACTGCTGTCTTGGTCTGATGGCTGTCCTTTAACATCTGTGTCGTTTTCATGTGTGTCTCTTCATTCAGCATTAGCATTGTGTGTACGTACATTAGCATTGGGTGTGTGTATGTGTCGCAGCCCCCAGCTAGGAAACACTGAAGGAGGGCCCTCTCAAGTGGCTCTTTTCTGACCCCGCATCAGCAAACCAGTTGGCCCCCAGCTGTACATAGTTCACAAGTCACAGGGCCACGAAGGGTCTGCCCTCCAGGAGGAAGGCAACTTGTTTCTGGGCTCCCATGCTTTTGCTTGTGAATTTACTCACTGGGTACTGTTTATTAAACTGAAGCATGTACCAGCCACAGTGCTAGGGCGTTGAAGCTCAGAAGACATTTTCTCTGAAACTGGGCCATGAGTAGATAACGAGGACAACTGAAATAGTGCTTTGGGGCCTTTCCTTCAGGTGCATTTTCTGTTTCTTCATGGAAAGTCAGCAGAGTGGTTAAGAAGGGTTTGCCTGGGGTCGGACAGACCTGTGGGTGGATCCCAGCTTCACCACTTCTTCCTGGGTGACCTTGGACAAGTTTCCTAACCTCTGGAAGTAGAGTTTTGTGAACTGTGAAATGGGAATTATAATAACAGTTCCTACCTCAGAAGACAGTTGGGAGGATTTAATAAGGTGATTCCTAGTAGGGACTAGGCACTTAATAAGTGCTCATTAAATGTTTGTTATGCTTTCTATTGAATCAGCTGACATCATACACCATGATGAACATCATACACCATGCAGTATATCTGATGCTTTGTCTGCACCAGGTTATTGCATAACAGAGATACACTAGAAACAATATGGAAAAACAAGGCAGGGGATGGCTTGAAGTGCACACAGCCAGAGTACAGAGAGGTAGAGATAACTTCAGATTCCTGGTTCATTCTTTCCACAAGTGTTTATAAAGGGCCTTCTGGAGGCCAGCTGCTGTCCTAGGCATTGTGATGAACAAAGGAAACTAAGCCCTTGCCCCGTGGATGTGACATTCTAATGTTCCACAGACACTGAAATGTCTGTTGCCAAACCAACAACCATTAATAATAATATGGGCCGGGCGGTGGCTCATGCCTATAATCCCAGCACTTTGGGAGGCTGAGGTGGGTGGATCACTTGAGGTCAAGAGTTCAAGACCACCCTGGCCAATGTGGGGAAACCCTGTGTCTATTAAGAATATATAAAGAATTAGCAGGTGTGGTGGCACACTCCTGTAATCCCAGCTACTCAGGTAACTGAGGCAGAAGAATCACTTGAACCTGGGAGGTAGAGGTTCAGTGAGCCAAGATCTCACCACTGCATTACAGCCTGCGTGACAGAGCAAGACTCCGTCTCAAAACAAAACAATGTGCATATGGAAAAATAGACACAGTTTGGAAAACAACTTTCACACAAACTTTTCTAGCAAAATGTACTGAGGAAATAGCCTGTATGCAGGTTGATTTACTTGAATTTGCATTTTACACTCCCCATTTCAAAGCTCTCACATCTTTTTCCCAGTCAAGTCTTTCTACCCTGTGGGCTTCAGCCTTGAGAAGAGTACTTGGACAGGTGTGAACCATATTCAATTGAAACGTGCCCTCAGGAAGTAAACAGATGCGTGGCTGAGGAACAGACAGGGCCCTGAGGAGCCCTGTGGGAAAAGCTAATTCTGTCATTTCTACTTGTGTTGAAGTTCCTGTCTTTAGATAAGAGTAATATAGCTGGGCACAGTGGCTCACACCCATAATCCCAGCAGTTTCAGGGGCTGAGGTGAGCGGATCACTTGAGCACAGGGGTTCAAGACCAGCCTATCCAACATGACAAAATCCCGTTTCTACAAAAATTACAACAACAACAAAATTAGCTAGGCCTGGTGGTGTGCATCATGTAATAATCCCAGCAACTCGGAAGGCTGAGGTGGCAGAATCACTTGAGCCTGGGAATTTGAGGTTGCAGTGAACCTTGGGCATGCCACTGCACTCCAGCCTAGATGACAGAGTGAGACTCTGTCTCAAAAATAAAACAAAGTGGCGGTGTAGGATATTCAGCCAGGTACGTGCTTGTATTTCCAGCTACTCAGGAGGCCAAGATGAGAGGATTGATTGAGCCCAGGACTTCCAGGGCAACCTGGACAACATAATGAGACTCCATCTTTTTAAAAAGTAGGGGAGGGGCAGGAGACATATTCAAGGAAATACTTAGAGCTGTTTGGGTGCCACCCAAGCAACCATTTCTATCCTCTGACCTGTTTTAGCCAGCAGTTCAAAATTGTTCATACTATGATTTTCCTTCCCTCCCTTCCTTTCTTTCTTCCTTTTCTCTTCCCTTCTTTTTCTTTTATTTTCTTTCTTTTTGAGACGGTCTTGCTGTGTTACCCAGGCTGGTCTTGAACTCCTGAGCTCAAAGGATCCTCCCACTGCTAGCTTTGGAGTAGCTGGGACTATGGGCTTGTGCCACTGTGCCCAGTTCATGCTACTGTTTTTCTCTTCTCTTCTCTTCTCTTCTTTCTCTTTCTTTTCAAGATAGAATCTTGCTGTGTCACCCAGGTGGAGTGTAGTGGTGCAGTCTTGACAACCTCCACCTTCTGGGTTCAAGTGATTCTCCTGCCTTAGCCTCCCGAGTAGCTGGGAGTACAGGTGCTTACCACTACACCCAGCCAGTTTTTGTGTTTTTAGTAGAGACAGGGGTTTCACCATGTTGGCCAGCCTGGTCTCGAACTTCTGACCTCAGGCGATCCACCCGCCTCAGCCTCCCGAAGTGTTGGGATTATAGGCATGAGCCACTGCACCCAGCCCAGGCTATTGTTGTTAATAATATACCTTTTTTATGGTCACATGGGTAATTTTAAAATCATTTTTTATTTTTATTTTTTTAAATTTCTTTAAAATGTTTCATTTTATTTATTTATTTATTTTTGAGATGGAGTCTCGCTCTGTCACGAGGCTGGAGTACAGTGGTGCAATCTCGGCTCACTGTAACTTCCAACTCCCTGGTTCAAGCGATTCTCCTGCCTCAGCCTCCCGAGTAGCTGGGATTACAGGCATGTGCCACCATGCCCGGCCATTTTTTATTATTTTTATTTTTAACTTTTAGGTTTGGGTATACATGCGGGTTTGTTACATAGGTAAACACGTGTCATGGGGGTTTGTTGTACATATTTCATCACCCAGCTATTAAGCTCAGTACACAATGGTTATTATTTCTGTCCTCTCTGCATCCTCTCTGCTCAAGTAGACCCCAGTGTCTGTTGTTTACTTCTCTGTAATAACATACCTTTTTTTTTTTTTTTTTTTTTTTTTGAGCTGGAGTCTTGCTCTGTTGCCCAGCCTGGAGTGCAGTGGTGTAATCTCAGCTCACTGCAGCCTCCACCTCCTGGGTTCCAGGGATTATTCTGCCTTACTCTCTCAAATAGCTGGGACTACAGGCATGCACCACCATGCCCAGCTAATTTTTGTATTTTTAGTTCATATGGGGTTTCACCGCTTTCCCCAGGCTGGTCTCAAACTTCTGACCTCAAGTGATCCGCCTGCCTTGGCCTGGCAAATTGCTATTACAGACATGAGCCACTGCGCCGGCCAGTAACATATTTTTGAAGAGAGAATTGATTTACTCCAAAAACTACTAGTTTTAAAAATGAAGCATGAGAAATACTTAGAAGAAAATTACTTTCTGTGCTGGGAATACATTTTGATTTTGCTAGAAAAAGAAAAAAGAAAATTACTTTCCTGTTAGATTCCAGTCAGGACAATTCCTTTCTACTTACTTGAACATTTTTATGTTACTGAACTCTAGAATAAATTTTATCCTCTTCTGAGGCAAGAAAAATAGTAGAAAACTAACTTGTCTATTTAGAAATATCTACTCCATATATTATTTGTGATGTTTTTGCAAATTAGCATTTGAAAAAATAATTTCTTAAAAAATGCAATATTGCCCATAGTGGGGAAACCCCCTCTAGTACACAGCTGGCTCAGATACCCTAGTAACACAGTGGGAAGGGGTCACACTGGGTCATGTGCAAACCCCTTTGCATTTGTTAATGAACATGGAATGGTGGATTGGGGGTGGGGTCAGGGGATGTGGTGCAGGGAAGGGAGACCTCATGGGCTAAAGGTGTCTTAATCTGCTTTAATCCTAGTCTGAGAGTGCACCTGGTTCAAGAAAGATTTTTGTTTGTTTGTTTTCTTATAGATTATTCAGCGATGTTTTACTAACCACTTCTGAAAAACCACAGTTTAAGGTAAAAACAATTACATCGTTTTTTGGTTTGTGACATAACTAAGTTAACTTTGAAAGTTAACTATATTTTTAGCCAAAAAAAGAAAAGGTATATAATGGGAAATTTTGGAAATGATCTAAATATTCTACAATTAGGGGCTAGTTTAATAATTTGTAATACGTCTATTTGACAGTCTAAAAGTGAAATTGATAAAGACATTGCAGTAATATGGAAAATAACTTATGCTTAGGTATAAAAAAAAGAAGATAATGTGTAAAACAACTTATCTATCTAGAAACAAGACTGGAAGGAGGTCTCCTCCTGGGAAGGAGTGGTGTTATGTATCATGGAAAGAGAATGGACTTTGGAACTCAAAAAACCAGAATGATATCTTACTTTGTTCTTAGAATACTAGGTGTTACCTACAGCAGGGTTTTTCAGCCATGGTATTTGACATTTTGGGCCAGGTGATTCTTTGTTGCGGGGGCTGCCTGTGCACGGTAGGATGTGAAGCAACATCCCTAACCTCACCACTAGATGCCAACAATGCTCCTTTCCCCCTCTCCCCAAAGGTGACAACCAAAAATTCCTCCAGACATTGCCAAATGTCTCCTGGGGGCAGGGGCAGTGGTGTACAGAATTGCTCCCAGTTGAGGGCTACTGACCTATGGGCAAGCACTTAATCTTTGGGTCTGCGTGTACTCATGTGTAAAAGCAGTGAGTAATGCATGTCTGTTGTCATTAGACAACTGAGATCATCTACAGAAACTCCTTATTCAGGCCATAGCTCTTGGCAGTGCTCACTGTGAGTACGATTTGGGTGGGAGGATGAAAGGTAATTCTTGCTCTCCTTTCTGTATTCCAAATGAAATACTATTAGGAGGAAAATCAATTAAAAACAAACAAAAGAAGGAAAACCAAGGCAGGGTTAGAAGATTGTGTCAGTGAGAGAGGTGCTTTCCTCTGTTCTGTTTTGCCCATTAGAGGAATTCTGACAATAATAGCTTCTTTGGATATGAAGTAGGAGAGAAAAAACATTGAAATTAATCTATTCTTCACTGAAACATCTTAGGAAATTTCTTCAGCCTTGTCAATAAATACATTCTCCTCCAACCCTGACAGTCCGGCCTTTAGGATTCAGGAATTAGTATTAGACCTCACTCTTCCCCTAAGCCAGAGAGCCTAAGCGGCAAAGATAGTATGATTTTAAAATCCCGCTTGAATTTCTTGCATGTACACTGACTTTCTGGAAAGATATATAGGAGACTGGTAATGTTGGTTTCCTCTGTGGAAGTAAGTGAGGGACTTTTCACTGCGTATGTGCCCTTTTATACCTTTCGAATTTTAAACCATGTGACTGTATTACCTACTTACAGCTTTTTTTTAATTTGAAATTTTTACAGAATAATAAAGACAAAAAGTTCAACATGACCTGAGTGTCTTATTTTCCAGGCCTGGACTCCTCATGGTTTAAAAAGCGAATAAATTAAGAAATGACCCGGGCGTGGTGCGTGGTGGGTCACACCTTTAATCCCAACACTTTGGAAGGCTGAGGCAGGTGGATCATTTGAGGTTAGGAGTTCCAGATCAGCCTGGCCAACATGGCAAAACCTCATTGCTACTAAAAATACAAAAATTAGCTGGGCTTGGTGGCAGGTGCCTGTAGTCCCATCTACTCGGTAGGCTGAAGCAGAAGAATTGCTTGGACCCAGGAGACAGAGGTTGCAGTGAGCTGAGATCACACCACTGTACTCAAGCCTGGGTGACAGAATGAGACTCTGTTTCAAAAAAAAAAAAAGAAAGAAATGATAGGTTCAGAAGCAAACTGCGCTGTTGTTAGGAATGTCTCCCAAAAGGGAAAGCTGGGAAAGCTTCATCTTGTAAAATTCAGAACATAAATCTTTCACAAAGAAAATAGCTCTGAAGTTATAAAATAATAACTGCTTGAATTGGTGTAAGTTCCAATAAGTTTTATGTAATTAAAAAAATTTTTTTTTGAGATGGAGTCTTGCTCTTGTTGCCCAGGCTGGAGTACAATGGCGCAATCTCAGCTTGCTGCAACCTTTGCCTCCCAGGTTCAAGTGATTCTCCTGCCTCAGCCTCCTGAGCAGCTGGGATTATAAGCATGTGCTACCGTGCCCCGCTAATTTTTGTACATTTAGTAGAAATGGGGTTTCACCATGTTGTTCAGGCTGCTCTTGAACTCCTGACCTCAGGTGATCCACCCACCTGATCCCAAAGTACTGGTATTACAGGCATGAGCCACCGAGCCTGGCCAATTTTTAAAACTTTTGGTTAAAAAATATTTTTTTTTTGAGATAGGGTCTCACTTTGTTGTCAGGCTGGAGTGCCGTGGTGCAATGATGGGGCTCAGTGCAGCCTCAATCTCCTGGGCTCAGGCAATCCTCCTGCCTCAGCCTCCTGAGTATCTGGGACCACAGATGCATGCCACCACACCCTGCTAATTTTTAAATTTTTTTGTAGACACAGGGTTTCACTATTTTGCCCAGGCTAGTCTTGAACTCTTGGCCCCAAGTGGCCTCCAAAAGTGCTGGGATTACAGGTATGAACAACTGTCCCTGACCTAATTTTTAAATTTTTAATTGTGATAAAACATACCATATAAAATTTACCCTCTGAACCATTTTTAAGTGTACAGTTTAGTGATGTTAACTATCTTCACATCATTGTGTAACAGATCTCTAGAACTTACAACCTGAAACTCTATATCCACTGAATAATAATTCCCCATTTCTCCCTCCCCACAGCTCCTGGCAATCACTATTCTACTTTGTTTCTATGATCTTGACTACTCTAGAAGTCTTATATAAGTATTTATCCTTTTATGAATAATTTATTTCACTTAGCATAATGTCCTCAAGGCTCATCTATGTCGTGGCATGTGATAAGATTTCCTTCTTTTTTTAAGGCTGAATGATATTCCATTGAAAGTATATGCCACACTTTATTCATTCATCTGTGATGAGCATTTGAGTTGCTTTTACCTCTTGTCTGTTATGAATAATGCCACAGTGAACGTGGGTATGCAAATATCTCTTTGAGATCCTGCTTTCGATTCTTTTGGATATATACCCAGAAGTAGAATTGCTAGATCATATGGTAGCTACATTTTATAGTTTTCTGAGGCACCTCCATACTGTTTTCCATAGCAGCTGTACTACTCGACATTTCCACCAGCAGTGTACAAGGGTTTCAGTTCCTCCACATTCTCACCAACGCTTGTTATTGTATTTTTTTAATAGTGGTTGTCCTAATGGGTGTGAGGTGGTACCTCATTGTGGTTTTGATTGACATTTCTCTAATGATTAGATTGAGTGCCTTTTCATATGCTTGTTGGTCATTTGTATATTTTCTTTAGAGAAATGTCTATTTAGGTCTTTTGCCCTTTTTAATTGGGTTACTTATATTTTGTTGTTGAGTTGTTGGAGTTCCTTTATATATTCTGGATATTAATCCCTTCTCAGACCTATGATTTGCAAATATTTTGTCCCATTCCTTGAGTTGTCTTTTTACTTCGTTATTCTCTGTTGCGCCGTTTTATTTATTTATTTATTTTTCTTTCTTTCTTTTGGAGACAGGGTCTTGCCCTGTGGCCTAGGCTGGGAGTACAGTGGCGCAATCTCAGCTTATTGCAACCTCCACCTCCCAGGTTCAAGCGATTCTCCTGTCTCAGCCTCCTAAGTGGATTACAGGCATGTACCACCATGCCTGGCTAATTTTTTATCTTTAGTAGTTACGGGGTTTTGCCATATTGGCCAGGCGGGTCTCGAACTCCTCACCTCAAGTGATCCACCCACCTCAGCCTCCCAAAAGTGCTGGGATTACAGGTGTGCATCACTGTGCCCAGCTGCACCAAAGTTTTAAATTTTGATGAAGTTTAATTATTTTTTCTTTTATTGCCTGTGCTTTTGGTGTCATATGCAAGAAATCACTGTCAAATCCAATGTCATGAAGATTTTCCCCTGTGTCTTTTCTTTAGGAGTTTTATCGTTTTAGGTCTCATGTTTAGGTCTTGAATCCATTTTAATTTTTGTATATGGTATAAGGTGAGGGTCCAGCTTCACTCTTTTGTATGTGGATAACCAGTTTTCCCAGCACCATTATTGAATATACTGTCCTTTCCCCCATTGTGTGTTCTTGGAACTCTTGTCAAAGATTATTTGACCATATCCACAAGGGTTTATTTCTGGGCTCTCTTCTTTTCCATTGGTCTGTGTATCTGCCTCCACATCAGTACCACATTGTTGTTGTTGTTGTTGTTGTTTTGAGACGGAGTCTCGTTCTGTCTCCCAAGCTGGAGTGCAGTGGCGTGATCTCAGCTCATTGCAATCTCTGCCTCCCAGGTTCAAGCCATTCTCCTGCCTCATCCTCCCAAGTAACTGGGACTACAGGCGCGTGCCACCACAACTAGCTAATTTTTCGTATTTTTAGCAGAGAAGGGGTTTCACAGTGTTAGATAGGATGGTCTTGATCTCCTGACCTTGTGATCTGCCCGCCTCAGCCTCCCAAAGTGCTGGGATTACAGGCATGAGCCACCTCGCCCAGCCACACTGTTTTAATTACTGTAGCTATGTAATAGGTTTCAAAATCAGGAAATGTGAGGCCTCCAACTTTGTTTTTCTTTTTCAGGTTGTTTTGGCAGTTTAGAGCCCTTGAGAATTACTTGAATTACTTGAAACACATCATGTTTATTTATGTTTTAGTTTTATGTGTTCATTGCTAAAAAATGCTAGAGAGGTGACTTTGATAGGGATACCAAAAGTGGCTGGGGTAGTATTTGAATGGACAGCTGTAACTGATTTTATTCCAAATAACGCTTGATAACTAACTGCTTCTTCATTGGCTTCAGAGCTTGGGAGTATCTCCAGCCGCGTTTTTCAATGGATGATATACGTTCTCTTCTTTCAGATCCCTACAAAGTTAAAAGAGGCATTGAGAATTGCCAAAGAATGTATAGAAAAGAGACTAATTGAAGAACAGAAACAGGTAAATTGATAATGGTTCCTCCCTGCCTTCTTTTAGTGTCTCCATCCTCTGCCGTGGTTTTTATAGTGGTTGACATTTGACTGTTCGCGCCACAAATATTTTAAGCATACTTACTTCAGCCAGCCTTTAGGCTAAAAGCTGCCCCGTAGAGCTGAATACTTCACCGTCCTGCCCCGGAGGAGCTCAGTGGATGTGGGAAACAAGCATGTCTAGGATGGGTAGTCTGGCTTGAGGATCAGGGCATGCCGGGTGGTGGTAGCTGAGGGCATGCATGGTCCATGCTCTCTCACCACCTTCTTCTTCTGCGAAAGAGGGAAAGGCAGGATGGCATTCGGGGCATGAGAAAGGTCCTCTTCCTCTGACATCCTCTTCTACCAGGCATCCAGACCCGCGCCAGGTAGTAGATAACCCAAGCAAGGAAAGATTCGTTTTATCCCAATAAAATATGGTTTGGCAAAACATGTTGGAGAAGATTTTCATTAGGAAGCTCCCTGATGTGGGAGATGCTTACACCTTATGGTCTCTTAAAGATTCACCAGCATCGAAGACTGACAAGAGCTCAGTCCCACCATGGATCTGAGGAGGAAAGAAAAAAAAGAAAGATTTTAGCTCGAAAGGTAAGCATGGTGTCTCTCTGCATTCCTTCTATGAGTTCTTGAATACATGTGAATAAAGTTCTAGGTTAATGGTGCCCATTTAATGCCAGATACTGTGCTATATCTCCTTGAAAGCTAAGACTATTTCAAGATGACTGGGGTGCAGCTTTAAAAAAAAAAGAGCTATAGAAGAATCAGCAGAGAAAGGGCCCATGTAGTTTCCTGGCTTGCTGGGATGATTATAGTATAATGTAATTGGAGGGAACAATTGGCCTGAGATAGTAAAGTCAGCATATTTGGTTTTATTTCCCCCTTTAGTTTTGGCTGCGGCTTCTTCACTGTATTAAATCATGGGACTGAATGTGACCTTGTCTGTAGCTAGTTTAATGGTATGCCTGGAAAATATTTTTATTCTAATTCCAGCTTCACTGTGTTTATTCTTTGCTTTCCTCTCCCCCTCCCCTTTTTCTTTTATTCTTAAAGAAGTCAAAACGATCTGCTCTTGAAAATAGTGAAGAGCATTCAGCGAAGTACAGCAACTCCAATAATTCAGGTAACTGATTAGCATTGGTAACGGGGCCCAGGACCCAGAGATCAGGATCAGAAGTCTCTAGTTGGTCAAGAGGTCTTGAGTTCTGCTGGCCAGAAACTGGGCAATATAGTAATGACTACAGAGAACAAAATAACTCTGTCTCTAATGAAGGATTGCAACAGCATTCATAGGCTCACAGCACTCAAGTGCTAGAAGGGACTTCTGAGATATTGGATAGTTCACCTTCTTCACGGATGGCAGAACTTGATCAACTAAAGACAGACACAGGAGCATTAGCCATGGAAGGAAAACAGACCTGAGTTGAAATGCAAGGCTTCCCATTTTTTAGTAGAGCCTGCATGAACGGAAATGACTTTAAATCCTGCCCGCTTCTCTGGACCGCACGTGGTGGGAGGATGTGCCCTCCTGTGTGAATTGAGGAAAGGACTCAACAGTGTTCGGGGAACAGCAACAAACAGAGATGGTACAAAGAGTTGGCATTCGTTGCTGCCACTCCCAGCTGCCCCTCACGCAGCTCTGCTGGTTTTGGGCCGTAATGTCCCATCTTTGGAAATAAGAGCTAGATCCCTGGGGGCCTTCTGTTTTTTCTAGTTTGTGACTCTGTGAAGTAGAGCCCACATAGAGAAGGGAAGGTTTCACCCTAACCCAAGCAGTTTTGGCTTAGCCCTGGAGGGCCATGGGAATACCTGCTTATACTTTTAGGCAGAGGAAGGACAGAGGAGAGAGGGAGAATTTGAAGATGCAAAAGAGACAGTAGGTGGGGGGCAGGGGGCATTGGGGCTACAAAACCAAGGGTTAGCATTCAAAGTACCAGGTATTGGTCTGAACTTTGAGGAAACCCATGCATCTCTTCCTAGAGGTAGGATATGTGGCAGCAGGGAAGAGACAGAGATGTTTAAAAGTAGGAGGGAGGAAATTAGGGGTATTCACAGGTCGTGTCTCAGTCTTTTCAGTGAAGTCAGGGAGGAGAATGTCTGCCTGGGGTGGGAGGAGAAACTGGAACTTGTTACAAGATGATTAGGCTGCAGCCCTGAGGGCTGAATGAGCCACAGCTGGAGAATGCAAGGGGCGTGGCCAGAGCTGGAGATTGGAAGCACTGAATAAAGTCCATAGACTCCAGCAGGAGAGTGAGAGTCACACTGACACTACTGCAGAGTCCAGTGTGGAGAAGGCTCAGGGAGAGCTGCAGAGGAGAGGTAGGAGGGGAAGTCCCAATGAGGACCAGTGCAGGCTCCTCTGGGGTGAATGCTGTGGTGGCCGGTGGGTCATTTCAGAGTTGGAAGCCTATTTTCTCCATGGTTGATGGGAGGGACATGGACCAGTCATGGTCATCATTAGGCTGAGACTCATGTCTCCACCCAGCAGTCATTCTGTCCAGTAGCTAATTTTTTATAGAGCAGAGAAAGCCTAACAGTGTACTCTCTACCTTCTAAGACCCTGCCTGCCTGCAAAGCTGTGTCACGTGCAGCCAGGTGAGACTCAAGGACATCAGGATACCCCAGTGCCCTCAGGAGTTTAGGAAAATGAAGTAGCAATTGATGGATAAATACAGATAATTCCCAAAATCTAAGGGAATCAAGCGGTCAAGCTTCTCCCCATTAAAATCCATTAGCACTACAAACAGGATGAAGACAGCATGCATTGATTTTTACCTCCTTTTTCAGTAAAACACCCTCACATTTTATAGGGAACCGAGGCAATATTGCAAATAGAAAAGTATTAAGCTGGAGGGAGGTGTGGTTTGATCAGGACATTTCTCATCACGGCCAGTGTCCATAAGGCACCAACATGTCCTGTGGGTAATGAGTGAAGTAATGGCTGGAGGCTTAACTACACCAGTTCTGGTGGCTTCTCCAGCATGTAATGATAGCCCTCCCTTTGGGGTGTGTACCTATCAGCCCAGAAAGCAACTGAATAGGGAGATTTGGTTAGACTCTCCATAGGATCTCTGTGTGGGGGAGGGGCGTTCTGTGTCCACAGAAAGGCTTATGTCGGAGCCTCTGCTGATTGAGCTACTGCCATGTCAGCTCAGGAGGGAGTAATGGGGAGATGCTGAGAACTTGGGAATATTTGAAACAGTTACTAGATCCAGAAAAAGCATACAACAGGTGGGATTTTGCACATTGTTTTAGTGTGAAGAAGGATATTTACTGATTCTAGATAAGAAAAGGCCTGTGAAATCCATGAGCCAAATAGGCTGACCCTATCGAGTTGACTCTACCTGCTGATGAAATGGAACTTCTGCAGAATGCATTACTGGGTGGACGCTGTAGGGAGCTCTCCCTTCCTTTAGAGGCCCCAGCAGGCTGCTCTGCACCTCTCTGTCCCCTGTACCACTTGTGGCCTCTGTCATTTGTCATTACCCAGAAGTGGAGGTTGGTTCAGGAAGAGATACTGCAGCCAGTTGCATAAGCTGTTGATTGTGCAAAGTTTCAAACCAGGCAGCCTGTGGGGAGCAGTGGGAGGCAAGAAGAAGGTTTTAGTGGCTTGGGGAAGGAGATGGACCCTGCACCAGAGTAAAAGCCTGTCATCATTGGGTCTAGTCTCTGAGTTCTTTGTCCCTCATCATCTTGTTTCACAAGGGTCACACACTAAGCCAAGTGTAGATGCTCAGACAAAAATGGGTCCCAGCCTGGGCCAAATGCCAAATGTCTTTTGGTGGTCCCCATGAGGGTTTCTCTGTGTTTTATCTCAGCAGGATCTGGGGCCAGCTCACCTCTCACGTCCCCGTCATCGCCAACTCCACCCTCTACATCAGGTTAGTGATGGAGTAAAGTGACGTGCCACCTTCCTCTCTGCCAACAGGAAGAGTGGGCTGTGCCTCTTCCTGCCTTAGCCCAACAATTTCAGGCATTAGATAGCAGCAGCCTTCTCAAGAGAGATCAGTGGGAGTGCAAATTAGCAGTGTCATTTGGGAGAACTGAGGGGCTAGATTTCCAAGCTCTGCTTTCACAGGAAATGGACCGGTTTCAGGGCCACTAGCCACCCGTGGCTCCAGCTTGCTGTCTTTGTTGAAAAGCTTCATGCAGAGCTCCAAGGATCGGAGCCTGTCTTGGTACATGCTCAGCTAAACAACACAAATGCGCTGTGGCCCAAGGGTCCCGTCCTGCCAGGCCTCTCTCATCAGGGAGCCTGTTCATAGGGTCAGCTTTGTCACAGCACAACTGGTGAGATACCTAGATGCAGGAGTGAAAGAGTCACTGCATTTCTGATTTTCTGGCAACAATTTGACTCTGTTTTGCTCTGTAATGTATTTAATTATCTGAATATTTTTCTGTTACTAGCCTGTGTTTCACTTTTGTAAATTAGATATAAGTTTTGATTGAAAAATGTAAAAAAGAATTAATCTTAGAGACTGCTTATAAAAATAATCCCTGATTTTGTGGAGTAGCCCCATAATACTTTCTTTCTTTTATTTTTGAACCAAGATCTCTCTCTTAGTCTTTTGCAAGCCCAGTAAAAACAATCGGGACACCAGTATCTCCTTTTGCTTCTTAAATGAACCACATGTTCTAGATGTGCAAGGAGCTGCTTCTGCCACTCAGAGCTTACCAGCTGTGCTTGGAAGGGTTCCTACAGCTGTGTGAAGGGAGAGTCATTGGCAGGGGGTTGGTTGATCCCATAATCATTAATATCTAACACAGCACCCAGGAGCTGCCAAGAAGCATTCCTCATCTCCACTCAAATACTTCTAACTGACCCTCCTAAGAAAACAAGAGCAAGCAAACGCAAGGGACTGGTGTGAATGACTTACTTCTGGCTGAGGGTGGTTATTGGTGCCTTAGTGCTGAATGTTCTAGGGCCAGGGTCTGCTTTAAATAACATTAAGTACCTGGTCCATGGGAGGATATTCTTGTCCTTATCTTACTTTGTCAGCAGATTTCCCAAGAAAGCCCCCAAATGTTGATCAAGACAGAAAATAAGCTTTTTTGTCTTTTGTGGAGATAACCTGTTCAGGCTAATCAGAAATGTCTGGTGATCTACTGCCCGAATTATATTGACCCATTTCCTAGAATATAGGATATTAATTTAACACTACTTGGGCATATTAAGAAGATTGGAGAAAATTAACAGAATCCATAAACCTCCTTTAGCAAGCTAGGCACTGGAGGCGGCTGTGTAAGGGTTCAGAGCCCCTCCCTGTGTGGTTAGATCTGCCCCTGCTCATTGACTGCCAGCTCTTATCTGTAAATGCCTTTGGGAATTTACAATCTATTTGGGCTTTTGGGGGAATTCTCTAATTTACCTGTGTTTAAATGGGCACTGTCTCATCCAGGAGCAAATTTGTATGAGATAAGGTAACTTTTACAAAGAGAGAAAAAAAGAGGAGTCTTGTGTAATTAGAGTCAATGTTGGGAAAACCTGGTGGTGAGTGGGAGGAGCATTCCTGTGAACTTGATAGCACGCAGCCTGAAGGGGTGTCTTGAGGATTCAGAAGGAAAACCTATGTGAGGCCACAGCACAATGCCTGGCAGAGTGAGAGTGCCTGGCAGAGATGAGAGGTTCCCAGCAAATATTAGCTTCTCCTTTCTTTTATCTCCTTTTATGTTTTGTTGATGAAATTGACTCAGCCTGTACTCTGACCTCTGCTGGGCATTTCCTGTAATGCATCTTATGAAAATGGTAACTAATATTTAGCATTTGCCTGGCAACCTAGCATTTCAGGCCCTAAGCAGTTCAACCCAAGGGAGTTTATTCATTCAAGATGTAGTCAAGGTGCATTTACTGAGAGTCTATGGTTTGCTAAGGAGAGCTGCGCTTGGCCCTGGGTTACAGAAATGGATAGACAAGGACCTAGCTTTCATAGAGTCACATTTCCAGCGCCTCTCAGAAGCTCCAAAATGATAGACACTGTTTAGGAAAAACTCACACTCAGAAGTGTTTTTTCCTGTTCTGTCACTCAACAATAAGCAACACAGACAGACTTCTGTGACCGAATGTCAGGAGGTCGGGGAGTGGTTCTCTCCACCACCGAGTAAGCAATCATCAGTAAGCAATCAGCTGGGTGTCCTCCAACCCAATTCTGACACTGTCTACGTGGAGATTGCATCACACCCCACAGGTTGGGGCTCAGTCCCCAAAACTACCTGCTCTTTCTGACACTATTTGCAAGGATGGGAGTCCAGAACTTTTGACAAACCAGCTTCAAGTATAAGTTCCCACAGCCCCCTCTTTAGTTTCTGTTAATTTGCTGGAGCAGCTCACAGAACTCAGGGAAACATGTTTACTGGTTTATTATAAAGGATGTTACAAAGGATACAGATGAAAAGATGCATAGGGCAAGGTTTGGGGGAAGGAGCTTCCATGCCTTCCCTGGGCACCGCACCCTTCAGGAACCTTCGCATGTTCAGCTATCAGGAAGCTCTCCAAACCCTGCCCTCTTGGGCCTTTTATGGAGGCATCATCAGATAGGCATGATTGACAGCCATATAGAAATGTTGTTATAGAACCCAACTAGGGTCCATTCACCCAGTGCAATAAAACCAGATACCCAACACTGAGGCTGTTGCAGTGATAGAAAGGAAGGCATTTATTGCAGAGTGCTAGGCAAGGAGGACCAGGCAGGGAAATGCTCAAAATCTGACCTTCCAGATGCCTTACAGGCAAGGATTTTTAAAGGTGGGGTAAATTTCAGGAAAACAGAAGCTAAAGGTAAAATTATAAGTCAGTACGCCGAGGTTGTGCATTGGTTTAAGCCTAAAAGGGTGGGACATCTTGGGGAAAAGGGGTACTCACAAGTAGATTCAGAGATCTGACTTGCAGTTAATTAAGGAAGAGAAGCTTTAAGAATTTTGGGGTCAGTAGAAAAATGTTAACTTGCTAAGGGGAGTGACTTTCTCCAAGCTTCTCAAGAAGAAACTTAGAACAAAGGACCAATAATAGGTACAGTTTAGTCTTCTTTTCCTCCTCCTCTGGGGTCTTTGTGGTGAGGGTTTTCAGTTGGGGTCTAAGCCTTTGAAAGACAATCAGTGACATGTGTTAAGATGTTATCTTTGGTTTCTGCAGGGCAAGGGAACATCTCTGGAGCTTTAACTTCCTTGGCTATTGTTCTTAAGCTACTTATTACCTTCTTGTTTACCAAGTTACTTAATTACCTCTAGGGCTTCCTGGATGCTTGGAATTTTTCTTAAAGGAACATTTGGATTTTCCTTTATTTCCATGCCTTGAGGTTTGCAGGTCCCTAAAAGTTGAGGGATGTCCCAGTTCCATCTCAGTGTGATTGTAAAAAAAAATATGGTCTGAGTACTCAATGTTTAGCTAAAAATTTAAAAATTAAAAAAAAAAAAGAAAAGAAAGAGTATGATCTAAACCCAGCAAGGCCTGTTTGTTGAGATTCTGCTTGGCCTCTCTGTGCAGCGGGGCTTTCCTCCAGGGTGCGGGGCTTGTATAGGAGATGCTTGGTAAATTTTTGATTTACATAGGCTTGCTCTGCCTTCAAGGCGTCTGCTGAGTGAGGGCAGGACTCTGAGCCCAGGGATGACACCATTTTTGTTTTTGAGACAGTCTTGCTGTGTCATCCAGGCTGGAGTGCAGTGGTGCGATCTTGGCTCACTGCAACCTCTGCCTCCCGGGTTCAAGTGATTTTTGTGCCTCAGCCTCCGAGTAGCTGGGATTACAGGCGCTTACCACCATGACCAGCTAATTTTTTTTGTATTTTTGGTAGAGATGGGGTTTCACCATGTTGGCCAGGCTGGTCTCAAACTCCAGACCTCAAGTGATCTGCCTGCTTCGGCCTCCTGAAGTGCTGGGATTGCAAGTATGAGCCACTGTGCCCGGCCAGGATGGCAACTTTTGGCTGGCCGGCCCCTGCTTAGGCTATTCTTCCTTGTAGAACTGGAGGCCTGCCTTCTCCTGGGCTCAAGTGATCCTCCTGCCTCAGCCTCCTGAGAGGCTGGGACTATAGGTGTGCACCACCACATCCAGCTAATTTTTTAAATTTTTTGTAGAGACAGGGGTCTCACCATATTGCCCAGGCTGATCTCAAACTGCTGGGCACAAGCGCTCCTCTCACTTAAGCCTCCCAAATTGCTGCGATTATAGATGTGAGCCACAGCGCCTGGCCTCACAGTTCTTTCTCATCAAGCACACCCTAAATCTTAAATCCGTTGTGGACTCTAGCCTTTGGCAGATTGCTCAGCAATGGATCAGCAGCAATAGATCAGGTTAGGTAAGTTGAATTCAGCAGCAGTGCCTTTCTTCCCGAAATCATCAGCTTTAAGCACGTTTATGGCAGCTAAAGGTGGTCTTAATCTCAGTTTGTAAGTAAAGGGGTCTTACCTTTATGAGCCCTTTCCAGCATTTGTGTAAGGGCTGGGGCCCCTCCCTTTTCTTACTGCAGCTTTTTCTCTGGGAGCCCATTCTTCAGGTCCTTACCAAGTTGATGGGAGAAATATCCTCTCCCTAAGTCCGCTTGCTGGCAGTTCCATCAGGTGGAGTGGGATTCTCTAATACTTTTTTGCTGAGACCACTATTTTTTCAGTACGAACATTCCTAGCACTGTCTTTTCTGCAAAAGGTTGTTTTCTGCCTCAGGAAGGTCACTCTTTCAAGAACTTTAAAATCTTTATCCTGGCTTATTTCATGATAAACTAGTGTTTATATTCTATTTCTAGAACTGATTAGTTTAAAAGGTCCCAATTTACACACACACACACACACACGCACACACACACACACACACACACACACTCCAGTATATCCTCCCACCCTCCTTTGGGAGCAGACAGGCCTGTTACCTTGCTCTCTGTTTTTTTGAGACAGGGTCTCTCTCTGGCACCTAGGCTGGAGTGCAGTGGCACAATCACAGCTCACTGTAGCCTTAATCTCCCACCTCAGCCTCCCAAGTGGGACTACAGGTGTGTGCCACTGTGCTTGGCTAATTTTTGTATTTTTTGTAGAGATGGATTTTGCCATGTTGCCCAGGCTCGTCTTGAGCTCCTGGGCTCAAGTGATCTACCCACCTGGGCCTCCCATAATGGTAGGTTTACAGGCATGAGCCACCCACGCCCAGCCCTTTTTTTAAAAAGTGAGTTTTTAAAAGAGTATTTTGGGAAAGCTAAGTAAGCAGAGGACCCTAAATTGTTATTTAAAATAATTATATCTATTTGGAGCACTTATTTTGTGCCAGGCACTGTTGATTTATAGTCATTTTTGTCAGTTAATCATCGTAAATACCTTCCTATCCAGTGTGAGTGGACTCTAGCTTAGCTCCATTTTACAGATGAAGAAACTGACGCTCTAGTAGGGTTAAGAGACTTTGACCAAAGTCACACAAGGTAGCGGGGTGCTAGAGCCAGGAGTCTAACTGTTCATTTACACAATTGATTTACTGAGTACCTGCTTTCTTCAGGATGCACCGCTGCAATGCTGTGGTTGGCTGATGTGAAAAGAACCCTGAATGTCGAGTCAGTTAACCAGGGCTGGAGTCCTAGCTCTGTCACATCCCCACTATGACCTTGGACAGATAATTTCCATTCTTTGAAGCTGTCTTTTAAAAGAAGTCCCGCTCTTTATGGCGTACATGGCGGGGCTTTCTAAGCAGTAAAGTACTATCAAGTATAAACTATGAATGCCCTACAATCAGATAATTCTAGCTGTTCTTGCTTGTAGTTTATATTTTAAGCAATAATTTTGAAGTGAGAAAGCTGGCAGTTGTAGAAAACCCAGTTTTCAAGAATGAATAGAGAGAAAGGGAAGTTTCAAATCTGAAGAGGAAGAGATGTGAGGGTCAGGGGTTCCCCTTGGTCCTTCGAAGTTTTGCTGAAAATTCAACTGGCCAAACAGATTAATAAGATAAAAGGCATACAAGTTTATTTAATGTGTATACACAGGAGCCTTCAGAATGAAGACCCAAAGGTACAGGGAAAATTGTCCATTTTTATGCTTAGGTTCAACAAAGTATGGACAGCCGTGTAGAAATATGACTGGAGGAAAGGCTTTGATCTAATGCTAATAATGGGCTGAGTGGGAAAACCTAGCAAGGCTGCCTAGATTCTTCTCGGCCTCTCGGAGCAGCATTCCTTCCTTCTGGGTATGGGCAGGACCTTCTCTGAAATAGGGGGCTTATGATGGACAGTCAGACGAGGTAGGTCAGGTGATTTCTTTTCTTTTTTGAGATGGAGTTTCACTCTTGGTGCGGAGGCTGCAGTGCCCAGGCTGGAGGCACGATCTTGGCTCACTGCAGCCTCTGCTCTCGGGTTCAAGCAATTCTCCTGCCTTAGCCTCCTGAGTAGGAATTATAGGTACCCGCCACCACACCCGGCTACTTTTTTGTATTTTTAGTAGAGATAGGGTTTTGCCATGTTGGCCAGGCTGGTCTCAAACTCCTGGCCTCAGGTGATCTGCTTGCCTCAGCCTCCTAAAGTGCTGGGATTACGGGTGTGAGCCATCACGCCCAGCCAGGTGATTTCTTTATGGCCAGTTTTTACACAGAAAGGTAGAGGGAGAGTAATATTTTTAGGTATGATGGTTGGCTTTGGGGAAAAGGGGTTCTGTTTCTATAACCCACCTTGGAGAAGGAGGGATCCTAGTTTCTCTGGCTAGCCTTGGGGGACCATAAGACTGAGAAGACTGGGGGGCAAGAGAAGGTCAAAGAAAAACTTTTGCTCTGAGGCTGCTGCTGAGGTCTTCATTTTGGGGTATTGTTTTCTGAGCCCCAACAGAGGGAAAACAGCTGTCTGGGCACAGAGAGTGACTGAGAACTCTTAACAGGAAGAAGGGTTAATAATAATAAAAAGACTTAAGGCAGAAAAGAAGAGAGAATGTTAGAGCTTCCAGATCGAAGTCTGAAACCCGTTCTAGGCTCAGAATTGCTGTCAGGTGGTAAGAATTGCCCCCTCATCTGTGTTTCCTCCCAAGCTGTCCAGATGTGAGTGGTCAGCCTGCCCAGCTCCATCCCACATGGGGCCTCGTTTCCCAGTTTCCCAGCCTCTTTCCAGGAGAAGGCCTTAGGGCAGAGTTGGTTTGTTAGGAACTCTGAGATTTCCCAAAAGATATTCCTTCACATTTAGCTGGGGATCTAGTCAGTTTAAAAGAAGACAAGAAAAACATTTACCTTGCTTTCCTTTTTTTTTTTTTTGGCTGGAGTGGAGTGGCATGATCTCGGCTCATTGCAACCTCCACCTCCTGAGTTCAAGCGATTCCCTTGCCTCAGCCTCCCAAGTAGCTGGGACTACAGGTGCCTGCCACCACACCCGGCTAATTTTTTGTATTTTAGTAGAGATGGGGTTTCACCAGGTTGGCCAGGATGGTCTTGATCTCCTGACTGGGTGAGCCACCATGCCAGGCCACTTTCCTTTTTAAAATGACTTTATAGCCTTAAGTAAGTTCACTACCCAATTCAGACTCTAGAGAGGGGCGCATGTGCTCCCACCTTGAGGATGCCTGCCCAGGAACTCTGGCCCTAGACCTGCTCACACTCCTCCCAACTTGAAAGAGACAAGTCTATTGTAGACTGTAGAAGGCTTGCTTGGAAAAAGGTGGTGGGTTTTCATTTTTCTCCCCTCTTGATCAACCTTGTTCAATAATAGAACTAAGTACACTCCTCATGTCCAGTCTGCTTTTCAGAGGTAAAACCTTCATGGCTCTTCTGAAGGGAGCGTTGTGCTTATAAATAAAAATAGCCCCTAACTGGCTCAGAGGACAAAGAACATGAAGAAGAAAGCGACTCATTAGTTGGATCAAAAAGCGACTCATTGGTTATTCTATAAATACGTTTGCCGTGTTTTAAAAGGCTTACAATCATGTTTCCAAACCAGTGCCTTTTGTAATTAATTTGAGTATATCCTAGTTTTGAAGTGAGAATAATCAGCTTGTGATTCAGACTAATATTTTACTGTCTGTTACTATTTGTTTAAATGACACTAAAATCTGAATAATGACTTGTGTCCCCTCTTTCTCTTTCTCTCTTTGCTGTTTTCAGTAGAGCATGCACCATTTTGAACGTGAATTTTCGGTAAAGTAAACTATGCTGATTTCTCTAACTTTAAAGATGCTCTGTTTCTGTATGTGAAATAGGATCCCAAGTGTCTCGATCGCTGAAGTGATGAACAAGTGGGAAAGCAGATTTGAGACTACTTCCTTATCTGAATATTTAAATGAAATACAGCATCTTTAAAAAGTACTCAGTGACTTCATCTATATTCATTTCATTTTCACCATGACCTTCAAAATCTTCATTTTCACTCTGATTTCAGTTTTAAAATACAGCTCTAAAACCTGCAAATCAACTGCATGGCATTTTGGTATATTTTAATTTTGGAAACCATAACTCTCAAAGTCCTATTGCTGCTAAAATGTTGGTTCCTAGTTATTCTGATGAAGAGGAAAGAGTGTTAGGCAGTTGAGTTCCTGGTTACAGGAAGACAACTTACTGGCTTTTTAACTGATGGTAGGGAAAAACAGTTCTTTTGTAAGCATCCTTTATGATTCTCGATCTGTGACCTGAGTACAGCCTCCTCACCTGCCTGACCAAAGGAGAAGGTGGTTCTCCTGAGAGCTGGGGGCTGCCTGCTTCCTTCTCTCCCGAGGGTGGCTGGATTATCTGGTGTTACCCTAGTGTGGTCTCATGGCCACTTGGCCTCCCCTCCAGTATGTGATCACAGAGGAACTCAGAATTACAGAGACCTGTAGATTACCCACTGCTGGCCTAAGAGTCAGAGGGGTACTCCTTTCCACGAGGCTGTCGAGGGTGTTTCTGGCCTGGCATTCCTCCCTAGATCTGACCTATGTGCTCACTGCAGCAATCTCTGCCCTCTGCCAGGGCCTTTGCTGGACTGCCAGGTTCCCATGTGGCTTGGTGGAGAGGATTTTGGGGAGAGTGGAGTAAGTAGTTGGCTCTCAGGGATTTTGTCTAAGAGAAAGTGAGATGGGAGAAATCAGGACTGACCTAATCATAACAGAAGGTGAGCTGTTTGGAGCATCCCCGTCCTGGACAGAAATTCAGGTATCATCAGTTTAACATGGAATCGGTCTGCTCTTGTATGTGGCCTGGAGATAAGGGTATTGGAGGCCTCTTGGCAGGAGGGACTCATTCACATTTTACGTGTGGAGAGAGCGCAGGCAGCAGGCAGTTGTTCCCAGGTTTGTCACAGGCCAAATGGCCAACTTTCATTTGGCCCTGTTGCCCTGTCCCCTCTTACCTCCATTGTTAGCCATGTGTTATAGCTGAAGCCCCAGTGGACCTTTCAGGAAGCTTGTGGACCATGGAAAGGGCCAAAAGGAAAAGCCAAAAACAATCAATGGGGTGGACTGAGTGAGACTGAGTCCCAGGCCTGTGTTCCTGCCTCCCATTTTCACCTTCTGACTCCCAGACCTCCTCTCCCCTGTTCCAAACTGACAAGTTGGGTTCGGCCTCCTTTGCCCTGGTTGTACCTTAGAGCCACCATGGTTGTTGCAGTCCCAGTGAGGAAAAGTGGCCCTGCTGGGACATCAAGCCCCACTGGATGCTTGGGACCACTGGGGTCACATCAGGGAGATCCTGCTGCCTGTCCTTTCGTTCCATTCGTTTTATATGCACAGGTTTCCCTGGAGCCCTTTGGACAGCGTATTTATTTACACCACCTACATTTTCAGAGAGACTCGTTTAAAGTGACAACAGTTTCAGCCTTTACTTGGACAGTGGGAAATGCATGTACTGAGCCCCACCCCAACTCCCAAACTCCGCAGTGGTGCATTTGCACTTCTAATTTTGAGGGCCTGGTAATGAGGCCAAAACCAAGGGTTGGTTCTCTATGAGACCAAGCAGTTTTGTTCTGTGCCAAGATGGCAGCCCCTACCCCTGAGCCCAGCCCTGAGGCCCGTCTCCGGCCTCCCAGAGTCCTTGCCTGGAGGGCTGGTCCGTTTCTAGATGGCCGGTGCTACGCCTTTAGTCAAACTCCCAAGTAGAACTCCCTCGCCTACTGCTGCAGCCGAAGCCTGTCCTTAACTGTGCAGTGATTCTTCTGCCATGGGTCAAAGCACAAACCTGGGAGGCAGAAACCCTGGAGCTCCTTCTTTTACACACTGGGCCCTGATATCAAGTCCAGATTCCGCTGCCCTTTTCTGGCCATTGGGTTGGGAGGGTTCTGGGGAAGGGCATTGGCACCTACTCACCCCTCAGTGGCAGAGCTCACTCCTCTGGGCCCTCCCTGCAGTCAAGAGACTGAATTCCAAAAGCCTTCAGCAGAGGTCCCCCTTCCTGCTGCTATTTCACTGGTCACTCTCCAGAAGTTGTCTTCAGAGGAATGCTTATCACACATGCTTATTTTCTTGTCCCTCCTCAACAGTCACTTCAGGTTTAAAGTCCTTATCTTTGTAACCCTGTGACATAAAGTCAGGAACATTTTCCCACAATCCACCCTAGCATAAAACATAACAGAATTTCATTCATCAGTTGTTATTGTGTAGAACCAATGAACATATTGGTCATTTGTCTGTATTTAACCTTTATTTGTATTGCTATATTTGAGCATTGCAAGATTGCAGAGCATGAGCGTGTGTATTTGTGTGATTCTTTAATTTCAGCTGCCTTAGGTTTGGGTAAAAGATGTAAAGAAAGGTAAGTGATTTTCTATCAGTTGTAAGACTTTGACCGTTTCCTGTCATCACACTTGGTGAAAAGGAGGTACCTGAGTATTGTGTTGGTGATTCTGAGCCAATACCCATGTAAACTTCAGTCGGGCAGCTTTACCTGTTAGCCGTTATCACAACTCAGCAGCAGTGTAGGGAAATTGTCTGGCAGAATGTCTTCCTGGGGTAGCCTTGTTAGGGACAGAGGCAGCGTCTGACAGGTGGAGCCTGAGAGAGCTGCAAGGTCACAGGAGACGGGGCAACTAACTGTGGCACAGGAACATTCTTTAAGGCAAGGCTTTTTCTGTACTCAGTGTTTATTCTGTCCTGAGAGAACAATCCATTCAGTGATTCCAAAATATAAAAGTCAAGTTGCAGATGTCCACGTGCCTGGAAGCTGGGGGAAGTTTTAGACACCTGCCCAGTTTCCCTCTCCCTGCCCACTGGGGCACGGCATGACATTCCAGTTTCTCCTGATGCTTTGGCAAAGGGGGCCACGATGGAAAGAACAGTACCTGAGAGATTTCTCTGTAAGAACACTCTTGCCGGAGAGACCCTTCTGCCTCCTGCTTTGCATTGCTAACAGTTATCAGCATTTTGTATTTCTTTAATGCAACCTAATAGGAAATTATTATTCAAGACAGACTCCTCTAGGAAATGCATAACCCAGGAGGCACTGTGTTCCTTGCTGAGAATCCTGAGTGGTTTGTCATTTTATATAAAATCACATCCTTCAAATACTGTGTGTGTTGGAGCAGCCAAAGAACTGTTCATCCCTCATGAGTAACTGACATTCAGGAAGCCCAGCTCCGTCATGCAGATGTCTGTCTTTAATTGCTAGCTCAGAAGTAGACAGAGCTTCCTGGGACCTGGCTGAAGTAACTGATGGATGGAACTCTTCTTTGGGGACCATTCCTAATATTTGCAAATGTGGTCAGAGCTCCATCTATGGAGAGAATGCCACCATATATGGTTTCATGTAATCTGTAATATTTGTTCCAACAGCCTTTAACATGACTATTGTTTGAGGGAAATGGCAACTTTTAATTCCCCTTTGATGCTTCTAGCTTTGTTGAGTATCTTAAGAACACATACAGTACTAGGTATCTTGGTACCTCTGAGGAAAACGTGTGGACTCTCACCAAAGTCCATTCTGCTCAAGACTGAGCGGTAGCATGTGTGCAGGGCAGCTGCAGAGGTGAATACTGACTGTCCCCTTTTTCCTCCACAGGGATATCTGCATTACCTCCACCTCCTCCACCTCTACCACCACCAGCAGCTCCCTTGCCTCCTGCGAGCACAGAGGCACCTGCCCAGCTCTCGTCCCAGGCTGTGAATGGTGTGAGCCGAGGGGCCTTGCTCAGCTCCATCCAGAATTTCCAAAAAGGAACTTTGAGGAAAGCCGAAACCTGTGATCACAGTGCTCCTAAGATCGGCTGAAGCTTCCTGTTTACACTTGGACGGGAAAGTTCTTTTTTATTCCTATTCACCCTACCCCACAAACTACCCTCTTCCTGGGATAAGAATTGCTGAGCCAGTACAGCCACAGACAGTACTGTTTTGCAGATGCTCACGTAAGCAGCTTTTCAAGAGGAAACTATTCATTCAGTAGAATAAAGTTAGGCTGGCATTTCTCCCTGAAGAAATATTTTGCTCCTTTATTAACCCTTTTGTAAAGGAGTCTTGTTTATCCTCTAATGGGCATGCTTTTGGGGCAGCAGCATATTGAAATATTTTCACCAACAAAAGTAAATGGACAGAAAAACAGTGACAATATTCAATCACAGCAGGAAATGGCCTTTGTGTTGCAACCCCTTCTACCCCATCAGACAGCTCCTAGAAACATTTCTCATAGTTCATTTCTCTAAAGCATTTTCTGGTTTTTAGATAACTCCAATTTTTGCTACCTTTATCTTAGACATGAACACTATAGTCCAAAGCATAGTTACATTGCTGAGTCAGAAAGCAACTGAGTTCTTCATTTTCCCCTCAAATATAATGGGGAATGTTCACAACATTGTTTTAAGTTCTAACAGGAATACCATTGTGGTTATAGAACTCAGGTCTGCTAAAGCAACTACTCTAGACCCATAGTTCTTTTTAGTGAGAATACTGAAACAGACAAAAATATTAACATCAGAAAAAGCTCTTGCCAATTAGAGGATCGTCTTAATCCTTAGCAATTAAGTCAAGTTTGGGGTTTGAGGGAGGCAGGTCATTATTACAACAGAAGTAAATTTGGCATCTATAGAAATCAATTACGATTTTTGAACAATTTATCTAAATATATCAATATATCATCCTTTTAGTGTTATCATTTATTAGAAAGATCCTTTATCCTGATTTGCTTAAACCTTTAAATAAATTGCACTTTAAAGGATTATAAATAATCTATTTAAAAATTCAAGTACACACATCAGTGTTGGTTACTATGCAGAGAATGTCATTGTGTATACTTTCATGTAATCTGTGATAAATGTCAGCTGTATTTTTTATTAAAATAAACTATGTCAAGAAAACGTGTCTGTAGCTTGACGAGATATTTCAAATGAGAACTTTTTGTAGCATCTGTTGTTAACAAAGAATACATTCACACTGTCTAAAGTTTCCTTCCTGGCTATCCTGTCTCTATTCTTTTGTGTCTCATTTTCCTTCTAAGAACAATCCTGTTTTGCTACTTAAATTAGGTACCACCTATATGCTTCTGAAACTAATTTAAACCCATTTTTTCTATTTCAGCTTCTAAAGAGGGTTGCATTTGACAGAATATCTGACTTTTGGCAATGGGAAAAACACCTGATATAAACTTTGCCATAATTTTTTTTTTTTTTTTTTTTTTTCCCGAGACGGAGTTTCGCTCTTGTTACCCAGGCTGGAGTGCAATGGCACGATCTCGGCTCACCGCAACCTCCGCCTCCTGGGTTCAGGCAATTCTCCTGCCTCAGCCTCCTGAGTAGCTGGGATTACAGGCACGCACCACCATGCCCAGCTAATTTTTTTTTTTGTATTTTTAGTAGAGACGGGGTTTCACCATGTTGACCAGGATGGTCTCGATCTCTTGACCTCGTGATCCACCCGCCTCGGCCTCCCAAAGTGCTGGGATTACAGGCTTGAGCCACCGCGCCCGGCCCAACTTTGCCATAATTTTAAAGAGAAGGCTATTAGAATTAGGCCTTTGAAGAGCCTGTGGATAAGTTCCTGTTCCAAGTGTGTTGCAGCCTAGCTGATTAGTTCCTGATAGAGGCTTCTGAGGCCTGAGTCCTTCTGAAGTCAGTTTTGCTGTTTTGCATAGTTCAGATATTTGAATACAGTTAATGGTCTTGTACAGTATCAGCTTATTTCCCACATGACACTAATTTCTTTTGTTGTTATTTTTAAGACAGGGTTTTGTTCTGTCACTCAGGCGGGAGTGCGGTAATGCAATCACGGCTCACTGCAGCCGTGACCTCCCAGAACTTCAGCAATCCTGCAAGCACACCACCAGATACATATTTTTTGTTTTTTGTCGGCAGGGTTTTTGCCATGTTGCCTCAAGTTGGCCTCAAACTCCTGGGCTGAAGCAATCCCTCTTGCCTCAGCCATCCAAAGTGCTGGGATTATAGGCATGAGCCCTTGGTGGCCCTAATTTCTGAACAGAATTTCAAGTTTTCGACCCACATTGATTTTTTTCTATTTCTTCTTTGTAGATATGGGATTTCACCACATTGCCCAGGCTGGTCTTGAACTCCTACACTCAAGAAATCCACCTGCGTCAGCCACCCAAAGTGCTAAGATTATATGCGTAAGCCACCACACCCAGCCAATTTTTTTTTTTTTTGTAAGATGGGAGTCTTGCTCTGTCGCCTAGGCTAAAGTGCAGTGGTGTCTTCTCAGCTCACTGCAAGCTTTGCCTCCCAGGTTCAAGCAATTCACCTGTCTCAGCCTCCTGAGTAGCTGGGACTACAGGCACGTCCTACCATGCCCTACTAATTTTTTGTATTTTTAGTAGACACAGGGTTTCACCATGTTAGCCAGGATGGTCTCCATCTCCTGACCTCATGATCCACCCGCCTCAGCCTCCCAAAATGCTGGGACTACAGGCTTGAGCCACCACGCCCAGCCTAGCCAATTATTTTAGTATAAAAATACAATTAGTCATGGCTGGGTGTGATGGCTGGCTCATGCCTGTATCTCAGCACTTTGGGAGGCTGAGGCAGCTGGATCACCTGAGGTCAGGAGTTCCAGACCAGCCTGTCCAACATGGTGAAACCCCACTCTACTAAAAATACCAAAATTAGCTGGATGTGGTGGCTAATTTCCCACTTCTGAGGCTGAGGCAGAAGAATCGCTTAAACCTGGAAGGTGGAGGTTGCAGTGAGCCGAGATTGCACCACTGACTCCAGCTTGGGCGACAGAGCCAGCCCTGTCTCAAAAACAAACAAACAATTAGTCATAGTTAGGAATTCTTTTATTCCTTATCAAAACAAACAGTAGATTATATGCTTTAATTTTATACATATGGACATATCTTTCATCAGGACACATCCATACTTTGTCCTTATAGTGAGAGAAGGTAAAACGTTATACAATTTTATTCAAAGAACATGGCCACTCTAACAGACAAAAGGAAGCATGGCTTCTAGTGCAGGAGAGTGGAGAGTTTTCCATACACAAACACGTGTAAACCTCCCTGTACAAAAACACCTGCTGTTGCTTTAGAGATTGTTTTTCTTTATGAGTAGTAAAGTCTTGAATCCAGGTGCAGTGCCGGCAAGTATCAAATAAATTTCAGCGACTTGATATTCAAGTCCAAATTAAATATTTAATGTTTTCTTTATTGCAAATATGATGTCTTTGACCTGAGGTATAGAGTTGTCTTCTAGAATCTTTGCGTAAGGCATAGGGACGTCAGCACCAGTGACACGAACAGCAGGAGCATCCAGGAAGTTGAATGCAGGACCTAGGAGAAGGAAGGCTGAACTGAGAGAGAGTAAATGCCAGCTGGGCACTACCACCTTGGCACAGAAATGTGGCTGACCAGGAAGAGAAAACATAAGGAATCCTAATTATGGGGAGCTGCTTTCTGGATTTGCTTTTAAAGTATTTACCTGAGGAGAAATGCCAAACTTATAAGTTCAGAGTTCAAGTCATTTGGCCACCCCTAGCTTTCAATCTCTTTATCCTGTACATACGTATATCGTGTATTCAGGTACACGATGTTAGTTACTGTGCTTGACTGTATTCTAGAACCAGTTTCTTTGAAATACCTTCCATGATCCTGGCACAGATTTCAGCTCCTACTCCAAACTGTGGCCAGCCTCCTTCCACAGTTACAAGATGATTTGTCTTCATGACGCTGGCTTCTATGGTTTCCATGTCCATTGGTCTGATGGTACGCATATTTATCACCTAAACAGGTAATATAATAAACTTTACAGAGTGACCGCAGCATAAATAGAGCCTTATCCCCATAATACCATTTCCTTTTTTTCCTGTTAATCTTTGGATCTAGGAAAATCTAATCTGCCCATGAATAGGCACATGAATATATACACTGTAAAAGGAAGAATTTTAAATAATACAAAGATTTATATGTCTACTATAAGCAGCTCTGTGCAGTTATAGGATTCATTTATCCTCCTTCACTTTATTTTTTTGAGACAGAGTTTTGCTCTTGTTGCCCAGGCTGGAGTGCAGTGGTGTTATCTCGGCTCACTGCCATCTCCACCTTCTGGGTTCAAGCCATTCTCCTGCGTCAGCCTCCCAAATAGCTGGGATTACAGGCACACCACCACATCTGGCTAATTTTTGTGTTTTTAGTAAAGATGAGGTTTCACCATGTTGGCCAAGCTGGTCAAACTCCTCACCTCAGGTGATCCACCACACCCAGCGAATCCTCCTTCACTTTAAATTCCTTCATCAAAATGAGTAACAGTTAACATCTGAGTGCCTACTGTGTACCAAGCACTACACTAAGTGTAATTCTCACAACTGCCCTATAACAGGACAGTATTCCTATTACAGCATTTCTTCTGATGAAACAGATTTAGAGTACATAACACATCCAAGTATAACTAGCACATGGTAGGTTTCTAAAAGATCCAGAAACTCAGAATGGTGAGGTAGGAGCATCACTTGAGCCCAGAAGTTCAAGGTTAGTAAGCCATGATCCAGCTGCTACACTCCAGCCTGGGCAACAAAAGAAAACCCTGTCTCTCTCTCTCTCTCTCGGGGTATGTCACTGAGAACCAGGAGAGGTTCAGAGAGCTCCCAACCCTGTCTCTCAAAAAAAGATCCAGAGCCTAAGTGACCGGAGTAGTAAAAAATATATGAAATGCAGGCAGGTTCCCAGCTTTAAGCAGAGACAGAAATGAGTGAAAAAGCAAGGTTTTACATCTAATTAACCTGTTACAGAACTCAAAAGTCCTATTTCTGGGTCTTAAATCTAAAAGGAGCCTGTCTAATTCTTTAAAAACAAGTAAATGTGGGGTGGGGCACAGTGGCTCATGCCTCTAATCTTAGCACTTTGGGAAGCTGACGTGGGCAGATCAAGAGGTCAGGAGTTCGAGACCTGATGAACACACTGAAACCCCATCTCTACTAAAAAGTACAAAAATTAGCCAGTGTGCGTGGTGGCATGTGCCTGTAATCCCAGCTACTCAGGAGGATAAGGCAGGAAAATTGCTTGAACCTGAGGCGGAGGTTGCAGTGAGCTGAGACCGCGCCACTATACTCCAGGATGGGCGACAGTCTCAAAAAAACAAACAAATGTCCACTCACCTCACATTCAACTCCCTCTTTAGATAGCACTGCTGCAGCTTCTAAGCAGTGGCCCACAGGTCTTGAATGGGAAACCACAGTTATATGTGTTCCTGAAAACAGAGTGGTCACAGATCAGAGATCGGGTGGAAACTAAAGATGCTACACCACTCTGCAGCCAGCTGTGGCTCTTGTTCATTCATAAAGTCTTCAACTCAACTTCATTCCAGTGAACTGAGGAGTGTGGCAGCCTTCCTAGAAATAAAACACAAACCTCTCGGACTGAAATCTAGAAAAGCACAAATGGATGAAAAATTGGAGCATCACACATTCTTGAGTTCATCCTATAATTTTTCAAAGTAAATGGCAATAACTTCTAGATTAAATTTTACCAAAATTGACAGGCTGGATTAAAAATACTGTTTAAATATATATCTTGGTTCTCTTACCTTGCCTTTCTATTTTGGCTTTTCCAATAGGAACTAGAAAATCTTTTGACTGTGCTTCTGGAGGAAATTCAAAAGGAACCCCATACATCAATTCATTCTCTAGCATCACCACTGAAAAATATCATAAATATTTAAACAAAAGTAACTAATCACATCCAGAATGTCTAAAACTGTATACAAAGCAGTATCATTCATCTTGTGAGAAGTGTCACTGTGCTGATTAGCCTTATTTCTACCACAACTGGCAGCCTTGAGGACAGTTTAGGTACTTTGTAACTAGAAACTAATTTATAGTTTGGTCAATATAATTTTATCTATTGAGGTTAAACCAGTGTT